CTACTCTGCAAAATTATTTATTCTTTGTTCCTTGGTTTCCCCGAAAGGTGAACCGCCCAAATCAGGGAGTGGGTGGATTCGCACGAAGAACCCGCCGAAAAAGGCCCAGGTCACTGACCAGCGCAACCAACTCACGGGGAGGCTGCCTCCTTCGTCTTCTCGGTTGCCGCACCTAAAACCGAAACTTGCAACTGCAACTTTGAACGGCGCAACGCCATTGTCTCTTGGTTGTATGCTTTTATGAGTATCAATCATCCTCGCAATATTGAAACACGCAAGCATCACAACTATGATACCTGGCCATTGGTGAAAGTATGAACTGCGTGAAAGCATCCGCTCGGCGCTGAAAGACAGCCGTAAGGGGGGCGAGGTGAAGCAGATTGGGGGCTTGCTTCAGGGCAGCGGGAGGCAGCTTGCTTCCAGTGAGGCCGCCCGCAATGAAAGAAAACACGGCTAACACCGCAAGGTGAAGCTGGGCTAGGAAAAGCACCAGGGACTTAGGAGTGGGTGAAGCGCAAGCTAGGGCAGGCTGGACACGAGTGCAAAGGTTGGGGCTCGAAGGGTCATAGCCCAATGTGGACCCAAGAATTGAGTGCGGGGAGAGGGGCAGCTGCCAGCTGCCGTTGGGCAATGATCTAACAAGGATTTGACCTCTTCCTGGCCCCGGGGCTGAGGCAAATAACTGTGGTATTCGCAGTAGCAGTAGTTGCGCCTGTTGTTTGTGCGCGCTATCTTACTCGCTCGTGTGCGTTATTTTGTTTGCGCGTGCAAACGCCCGACAAACATAGCAAGGAACGATAATCACCAACACACCCGTTGCAGATGGCAGCACGCAACACGCGATGCATCAAGACTCAGCACAGACAACGGCACCCAACAAATAACAAGCGCCCAGCACAACAACAACAGGCGGCAAACAATCACCACGCAAACACTCATCATAGAGAACAACACCCAACAAACAGCGAACAACACAATCAACAAGCTCATCACAGATCACAACACGCAACACACGCTAAATAACGCAAACACACCCATCATGACAAGAACACTCAACAGCCAACAAATCACACTCATCATAGACAACACCACGCAACACTCAAGCACTCATCACTGACTGATCACGGACAACAGCACGCAACAAAACAAGAAAGACCAGACAGCAACAAACAACAAGAACAACAAAGGGCGCAAAGCAAACACCAAGAAGACATACAACAAGGGGCAGGGACCAAAAACGTTCAGAGACCGTTCTGTTTCGAGCTTTCTCAGGTTTGTCATGGCCTGGGACATGGGCTTTCGGGGTATTCTGGCAGCCGCCATGGCGGACTTGCTGCAGGAGTGCAAGAGGGAGGTTTGCCATTGGCGGCCCTGGGGAAGGAGGGCCCAGTCAAGCAGATGGGACCACCAAGTTGTGGGAAGCAACAACTGCGGCAAGGAAGAGTTCACCGTGCGGAGGTAAAACGAGCCGAGGGCCCCATGAGAGAGGTTGCTCAGGGTTTCCTGAATTCACGTGGGTAAATCATAGCAGTTTCTGCAGACTAGCTTCCATACGTGATCAACCAAGTGGACTGGGGAATTCGGTTCAGTTGATCCCTCCGAACACACTGGTTTCAAACAACTAGGAATTGCTTAATCGTGCTGAAAGCAACAAATCTCCCAGCTTCCTGTTGAACATGCCCTTTGAAATGATGATGAGCGGTTTCGTTTGGGTTTCCATTTAAAGAAATCTCAACAGGATCCTATCAAACAAAGGCACGTTTGGATGAGGGCCCAATGAGGGCTCAACCAAACCGACACATGGTTAACCAAGTTTGCAGATGGGTTATTCTTTTGGTGGTGGATTTCCCCTGTTGTTGCCCCTGTTTACTACTTGTCTTTTGTACTAGGGGTGGGTCCACAAGCCGAAGGTAAACTGCCTTGCCAGGAGCGTATGGTCGATTCTCGGAACGTCGTGGAAGAGGCCAGGTTTGAAAACCGGACGAGTGTTGATATCTTTGTAATTAGCTCGATTCTAGGATCAATGCTTCACATTTTGAGGTTCATCAAATGGCTTAGAATTCGGGCCCGCTCGAATTGCGCACAATGTTTCCGGTTCTTCTAAGAGGCACTCAGTACAGGGAAATAGGCATGTGTTTGAGTCAATCCCCAAGCCTGGCACAGAGTCATAGAAATGGAAGTGTTGTCAGCATTTTTTTAATCCTGCGATTCGTTGGTGCGCCAACAAAGCATGACCATCAGCAAGGGCCAAGTATGATCACGAGTCATTCCATATTATGATACTGTCATGGTCTTATCTTTAGGTTTCTCTGAACCATTCCCAAAAGATTATCAAATCACAAGGGTAGAAATTCGGTTTGGCTTCCTTTGAGTTCCCTTACCACACCTTGAGCCACCCCAACTGCCAGCCACGAGACAGCCTTTTCGCACACAATGCACGCACACAGATCATGCAGCAATCAAATTCAGAGCAATTGAAAACTTGTTCACACACACACACATGAATGAGCAAGCATGTATCATCCAGTCGGGTCACAAGCAGCCTCTGAACCGTGTTCTCGAGGTGAACAAGGGGGGTTCAAACCTATTGACCTTTTTGGGACTCCGTTTTCACGCTGTGGTTGAACGAGGTCGAAAGGGTCCTTGTTGTCTTACAACGGCCTTGCATCGATTGGCTACATGTTTTGCTTTCGAAGGGACTGCGTTGAGGCAGTGTGGCTGGACAAGCGTAACAGCCTGTTCTTTCTCCTGCTGAACATCCTGAACAACAACAGGCGTGGACCGCCACCGCACGGCCGCACAATGGGTCCCTTTAAGAGGCCTGAGGCCACGCGCGAAATGATTTGGTGTCTAGCGATATACGCATTTTATAGATAAATGGCCGTGGCTCAAAAAACCGGTACCAAAATGGAACCCTGGTAAGTGGAAACATGGACCACAACCTGCGTAACCCCTCCTGTTTAATTTTGAGCCACACCCAAATATGTAATCTCGTCGTTGTATGTCATTCTTGTCATGCCGTCGGCGCACTGTTGGTTTGTTTCTTGTGTATTGGTACGGAAGTTGCTGTGTTTGCGTGGCATGCTTGGGTTGTGTTGGTACCTCTGGAGGTCCGTTTAGCAGAAAGGGTTGCAGGTTTGGTCCCCGGGCATTCTGGGAGGATAGCTCTTTGCCGAAGGTCCCTGACCGCCCCCCCAAACCTTGGGAGCCAGCACTCGGTTAGCGGAAGTGGGCGAATCGCCCTTCCCCGAGAACTCACCAAATCATTGCAGGGTGGCTCCCAGCCTCTCAAAGATATCCAAACAGAAGGGTTCATTTTTGGTAAGTTTTAGAGAAATGAGAAAAGGATGTTGGGGATATCTAGTCAAAATAATATCTAGACAAAAGTGGAGAAATGGTAAAGGGTTTTGGTTGGGTTCCCCGCTGCCCCGGCCATTTCTCCCGGCCTGACGCTGTCCCGCTTCGAGGCCCTTCGAGAAGATCCCCACCAGTCCCACGGAAGAGGACGAAGGCCGGGGCTGGCGGACGGAAGTTCCGGAGCGGATACAAGGTTCGCTCAATCGCATGGACGCCTCGCACAACGACTTGCTGGAGCTCAGGGAATGAGGGAATGAACCTGGGGATTCCCTTGAAGGAAACCACAAGGATGGTATATAGGGGGTCATTCCCTCATTCCCTGCTGAGCACCAGCAAGACGAAGAAGCATGGAATCCTATGTACTGTTAGGCTCTTTTCTGCCCGAAAGCAGATCCTGTTTTTAAATTCGAGGGTTTGTTGGTCACATGTTCATTCAAGTACGGGCTCAGTCGCTCACCCCAAATGGCATGTTCATGTGAGAGCCAAAGTTCAAGGCAGAGGTTGCAAAGGGCTTAGGTCGCAATGGGGAGAGCAGGGCTGTTGTCCCAAAAGGCGAACTTTGTTCAGACCCGGGTTGAGGATGCCTCTTGGTGGTTTCCTGATAGGACATATGGGTTTGGATTGGCCAACGCTCCATTTCTAAAGACGAGCCGACTCTCGTGGTACAATCCCTACAAGCATGGATGGAGCACATGCCGAACTTTGGGCCGTGCGTGGGTTTCATTTTATTTTAACGCCTCCGGCTCAGGCCGCCGACATTACAGGCCTGCTTTCTTATTTGCGTCCCTTTGGAATTGTCCCCTTGCCCCCTTCCCCTCTGAGATTTTTGCCCCCCTTTCTTTGTTGAGATCCATTCCCCCTTTCAGCCCTAAGGCCTTTTATCCCTCTGATTTTTTCCCTTTCCCTCCCTAAGATGTTTTCCCCCCTCTCCCTGTTGAGATCCTTTCCCCCCTTTCCCCCCTAAGGCCTTTTCCCCCCTGAGATCTTCTCCCTTCCTCCCTTTCCCCCACTTTCCCCCCTACGGCCTTTTTTCCCCCGCGATCTTCCCCCTTTTCCTTCCTAAGATCTTTTCCCCCCTTTCCTTGTTGAGATCCTTTCCCGCCCTTTCCCCCCTAAGGCGTTTTCCCCCCCAAGATCTTCTCCCTTTTCCTCCCTAAGATCCTTTGCCCCCTTTCCCTGTTGAGGTCCTTTCCCCTCTTTCCCCCCTAAGGCCTTTCCCCCCCTGAGATCTTCTCCCTTGTCCTCCCCAAGATCTTTTCCCTTGGTTGAGATCCTTTCCCCCTTTCCCCCCAAGATCTTCTCCCTTTTCCTCCCTAGGATCTTCTCCCACCTTTCCCTGTTGAGCTCCTTTCCCCCTTTTCCCCCTAAGGCCTTTTCAGATCTTCTCCCTTTTCCTCCCGAAGATCCTTTGCCCCCTTTCCCTGTTGAGATCCTTTCCCCCTTTCCCCCCTAAGGCCTTTTCCCTGCCTGGGATCTTCTCCCTTTCCTCACTGAGATCTTTCCCCCCCTTTCCCTGTTGAGATCCTTTCCCTCCTTTCCTTCCTAAGGCCTTTCCCCCCGCTGAGATCTTCTCCCTATTCCTCCTTAAGATCCTTTGCCTCCTTTCCCCGTTGAGATCCTTTCCCCCCTTCCCTTTAAGGGCTTTCCAGATCGTTTCCCTTTTCCTTCCTAAGATTGTTTCCCCCCTTTCCCTCTTGAGATCCTTCCCACCCTTTCCCGCCTAAGGCCTTTCCCCCCCTGGGAGCTTCTCCCTTTTCCTTCCTTAGATCTTTCCCCCCTTTCCCTGTTGGCCTTTTTTCCCCCAGATCTTCTCCCTTTCCTCCCTAAGATCTTTTCCACCCCTTCCCTGTTGAGATCATTTCTCCCCTTTCCCCTCTAAGGCCTTTGTCCCCAGATCTTCTCCCTTTCCTCCCTAAGATCTTTCCCCCCCCCCCCCCTTTCCCTGCTGAGATCCTTTTCCCCCTTTCCCCCCTAAGGCCTTTCCCCCCCCTGAGAGCTTCTCCCTTTTCCTTCCTAAGATCTTGTCCCCCCTTTCCCTGTTGGGCTTTCCCCCCTAAGTCCTTTTCTCCCAGATCGTCTCCCTTTCCTCTCTAAGATCTTCCCCCCCCCCCCCCTTTTCTCCTTAAGATCTTTCACTATTTCCCTGTTGAGATCCTTTCCCCCCTTTCCCTCCCAAGGCCTTTCCCCCCCCTGAGAGCTTCTCCCTTTTCCTTCCTAAGATCTTTTCCCCCCTTTTTCTGTTGGGCGTTCCCCCCTAAGTCCTTTTCTCCCAGATCTTCTCCCTTTCCTCCCTAAGATCTTCCCCCCCCTTTCCTTCCTAAGATTGTTTTTCCCTTTCCCTGTTGAGATCCTTCCCACCCTTTCCCCCCTGAGGCCTTTCCCCCCCGAGAGCTTCTCCCTTTTCCTTCCTTAGATCCCCCCCCTTTCCCTGTTGGCCTTTTTTCCCCCAGATCTTCTCCCTTTCCTCCCTAGGATCTTTTCCACCCCTTTCCCTGTTGAGATCATTTCTCCCCTTTCCCCCCTAAGGCCTTTGCCCCCAGATGTTCTCCCTTTCCTCCCTAAGATCTTTCCCCCCCTTTCCCTGCTCAGATCCTTTCCCCCCTTTCCCCCCTAAGGCCTTTCCCCCCCTGAGATCTTCTCCCTTTTCCTCCCTAAGATCTTTTGCCACCTTTCCCTGTTGAGATCCATTCCCCCTTTCCCCCCTAAGGCCCTTTCTCCCTCTGAGTTTTTCCCTTTTCCTCCCTACGATGTTTTCCCCCCTCTCCCTGTTGAGATCCTTTCCCTCCTTTCCCCCCTAAGGCCTTTTTTCCCCCCGCGATCTTCCCCCTTTTCCTTCCTAAGATCTTTTCCCCCCTTTCCTTGTTGAGATCCTTTCCCGCCCTTTCCCCCCTAAGGCGTTTTCCCCCCCAAGATCTTCTCCCTTTTCCTCCCTAAGATCCTTTGCCCCCTTTCCCTGTTGAGGTCCTTTCCCCTCTTTCCCCCCTAAGGCCTTTCCCCCCCTGAGATCTTCTCCCTTGTCCTCCCCAAGATCTTTTCCCTTGGTTGAGATCCTTTCCCCCTTTCCCCCCGAGATCTTCTCCCTTTTCCTCCCTAGGATCTTCTCCCACCTTTCCCTGTTGAGCTCCTTTCCCCCTTTTCCCCCTAAGGCCTTTTCAGATCTTCTCCCTTTTCCTCCCTAAGATCCTTTGCCCCCTTTCCCTGTTGAGATCCTTTCCCCCTTTCCCCCCTAAGGCCTTTTCCCTGCCTGGGATCTTCTCCCTTTCCTCACTGAGATCTTTCCCCCCCTTTCCCTGTTGAGATCCTTTCCCTCCTTTCCTTCCTAAGGCCTTTCCCCCCGCTGAGATCTTCTCCCTATTCCTCCTTAAGAGAGCTTCTCCCTTTTCCTTCCTAAGATCTTTTCCCCCCTTTCCCTGTTGGGCTTTCCCCCCTAAGTCCTTTTCTCCCAGATCTCTCCCTTTCCTCCCTAAGATCTTCCCCCCCCTTTCCTCCCTTTCCCAAGATCCTTTCCCCCCTTTCCCTCCCAAGGCCTTTCCCCCCCTGAGAGCTTCTCCCTTTTCCTTCCTAAGATCTTTTCCCCCCTTTCCCTGTTGGCCTTTTTTCCCCAGATCTTCTCCCTTTCCTCCCTAAGATCTTTTCCACCCCTTTCCCTGTTGAGATCATTTCTCCCCTTTCCCCCCTAAGGCCTTTTTGCCCCAGATCTTCTGCCTTTCCTCCCTAAGATCTTTCCCCCCCCCCCCAGTTCCCTGTTGAGATCATTTATTTCCCCCCTTTTCCTTCTAAGGCCTTTTCCCACCCTCAGTTCTTCTCCCTTTTCCTCCCAAAGATCTTTCCCCCCCTTTCCTCCCTAAGTCCTTTTCCCTGAGTTCGTCTCCCTTTGCCTCCCTAAGATCTTTTCCCCCCTTTCCCGCTTAAGATCCTTTCCCCCGTTTCCCCCCTAAGGCCTTTTCCCCCCAAGATCTCCACCCTTCTCTTCCCAAAGTCTTTTTCCCCCTTTCCTTTGAGATCCTGTCCCCCCATTGCCCCTTAGGGCCTGTTCCCCCCGAGAAAGATTTCCCTTTGCCTCCCAAAGATCTTTTCCCCCCTTTCCCCCTTAAGGCATTTTTTCCCCAGATCTTCTCCCTTTCCTCCCTGAGATCTTTCCCCCCCTTTCGCTGTTGAGATCCTTTCCCCCTTTCCCCCCTTCATTTCCTTCACCAGCATGGGCAACATCCCCAGCATCACTTGCATCATCTGCATCATTGGCAGGCGCTGACGCGGATGATGCAGGTGATGCTGGCGATGTGCCGCTGGAGCTGCTAAGGATGCAAAGTTTTTGGCAAACTGAGTTGCGCAAGCCCGCACAATGAACAGATTTAGTGAAGCGTCTTCGAATCACCACGTGGTACGTGGACCCCCCCCCCCCCCCCGGAGGGGTTAGGGGAGGGGTGACAGGTAAAGAGGTAAGGAGTAAGGAGCATTTTTTATGTCCAACACGCTGTCTGTTGTCGGCGGATTGTTTAGCTGCGTACCCTCCAACAATGGGTCGCTTTCAGAACATAGTTTTTCAAAATCTGACATGGCCGAGCTGGTACAGGGAACTCAGGCGGCTGCGCCATTGTTGCCTGAAGACCAGGACGTTCCCCTCTACAATTGAAGAAGTGCTGTGTGTTTTCTGCGTAGTTTGGTGCTGGTAACACAACCCGCTTGAGCACAGGGTGCAAAAGAGACAGCCAGTCTCGCCCTCCATCCTGCAACAGCCAGCGCCTCTTGCTGCCTTTCCGAACAACCACTAGTTTGAGCATGGTTAACAGATGAGACCGATGAGCCCAAGGTTGGCTTTTCCCCTGGTGGGTCCAACCCTGGCAGGTTTGGAGGAGCCGCTGTGGAAGATCGTGGCGGCGCGCCCGCCCCTGGACAGCTCGGAGAGGCGCGCGGGTCCCGCGGAGCGGCGCGGAAGATTGGAGAGAAACGTCCCCAAGAGGTGGCGTTTTCCACATTTCACAGATGGGAACTCTGAAGGGCAGGAAGACCATTCCAGATGGTTGTTTTCGCTGAGTTTCCACCTTGACTTAAACAACCACCCAACAAAGGGGTTCTGGGAAAGAGTTAGGACTTGTGCCATATTTTTGCGGACTTGGAGTGAAACGGACATTCTAACAGCGGCCAGTTCATGAAAGGTTCGTCAAGGCAGAGAACAACACAAGCTCAACATGTAGGTCTGACCCTTGGCGCTTCTCAAGCGTCAGGTGTGAGACCTGGAGTTCAGCAGTGGATTTCGCCTGAAATGTACAAAGGGCTTGGCAAACCTCGCCCACGAAGCTTTCTGTTGGTGCCTTATTCTAGGTGCATCATAATTCACCCAGTCTCTTTGCGAAGGAAACCGCCTCGATCCTTGAGAAACCTCTGTGCGAAAGCCACCGCCCAAAGCGAGAAATCTCTTGCATCGTTCCTGGCTGGTTCCAAAGGGACCAATCTCTGAAAGTCAGTGGTGCATGGGGTCCCTTCTCGAGCCTAGAAAAACATTGTAAGGATTTTTGATGGAATGACCATGGCCCATTGGTTCCTCCAACTCTGAGTCTGTGGTGCTGGAGGCTTTGGCTCTTTGGCTGACTTAGGGATGCTAAGTTTCCGAACCACGTTGCCATCCCCAAAGCTTCCGTGCTTGAGGGTGTTCACCGGGTTTCACCTTGCAAGGACGACTGTGTTGGTCGGTTCTTGACTGTTTAGTGCGATCTGTGCGATCTTAAACTTGTTCAACTTTTCGAAAATGAGCATTCACCCACTCACCAGCAAAATTCCTCAATCTTTGCGGTGTGTCTAAGCCCAAGGGTTGCCAAGGCTTCCGGATTCCAATAGCCAGAACTGAGACCCGACGAAGTCTTGGCTCATTTTGCCCCAGCCTTCCACGCCGCTGGCCTTCACACGCGCGCTCCCTCTCACGCAGGCAGGAAAACGCCGGCGCTTCGCATGTGGAGATGCTGGCAAAAGCCAAGGAGGGGCGGCAGGGCGGCATCGTCGGGCTTGAACACTGGCACGGATGGTAAAACGCCGCGATGCCTCAATTGGCCAGGGGTTAAACGTATGTGTGTTTCCGCTTTTGGATCCAAAGGGGTCCATGTCCGAAAATCATGTACAGGAAGAAGCTAACATGGTTTTGTGCTTGTTGATGCCCTTGAGCCTTGCGCAGGCGACTTGTTGATTTCGTGCTGGGCTTAGCTGCTCACCCGAGTTTGAGACGTTGTTCATGATTATTCCCAAAGCAAACCAAGTCTTTCATCCCGTGACACATGTGTTTGATTTGCCTGATTTGGGAATTCTTTCAAAGCCAGGGCACCCATGCTGATTCAAGGTTGGGTTCGGAGGGGTCCGGAGCTGGTGTTGATACCCGTCCCAAAAGCCGGGTTTTCCCAAAGCATTTGACAGGATTGCGTCCATTTCACTTAAATTGAGTAGGCTATTTCGAGGGGTCCAACTGCTTTGGACGCTGAGCTTACTTGGAGTGGAGCGACTGCGTTTGATCCGACTGCGTTTGATCCGACTGCGTTTGATCCCTGAAACAAATTTTGTCCCTTACCACTTACGGACAGGGCCCAGAGCAAATTAGATGCGCTTTGCTAGTGGAGGGGATGTGGAGGTTTCAGAAAGGAGCCTTCCTTCTAGATCATGCCATGGAGACTTTTTTGTGTTGAGTGGCCGGGTGATTTGTGAAATGCGCATCGCACCAAAACAGTTGTGTCTGTTCTTGCGGCTCAGTAAGTATACTGAGGGCTTTTGTTCAATCCCAATGTGTAACTCCTTGAGTTCTAGGTTTGCTCCCAGCTTGGAGGTCCAAAAAACTGCCGCAAACATGGGTCCCGGTGTGGCCTCGCTTGGGACTGCTTTTCGGACCCCTTGGTTCCCTGGCTACCAACCCACGAAATGATAACACACCCCTCTTGTCCAGAACATGAGCATTGAGCGGGGTCATTGCCCAAGTAACTTGCAAAACATGTACAAACACCCCCCGACCAAAGCGAAAATCCAGTTGCTGCGCAGGTTGAGGTTTTCTTCAGCCCCCATAAAGAAGCGCTTCAAAGGAGGACTCAATAGGGAGTTGATGCCCTTTGATTGCTGCACGGGCTTAAATTGGGTGCCATTATTTAGCGCCTTGTTTGTTGGGATTGTAACCCCTCGACAGGAGGAGGGCGCCGCAGCGGTGGAGAAGGTGGCAAGGCGGGGTTGCAAGGTTAGCCGGGTTTGGGGGTGGGGGCGGGGGGGGGGGTTTCCGCCTTGGACTGTACCGGCCAATGCGTCGACATGATGTGTAGTAAGAACAAACCACTTGAGAGCATCCTGGCAAAGCTGCACCGACACACCTGAGTATGACTGCAAAGTTGCCCCGGCTGCGTGCCTTGGGCAGGCTGTGCCCCCGTGCGGCCTGGTGGCTTGCAGCATGGTCCACGTGGGCTTTCGCGGCCTCCGCGGCTTGCGCGGCCTATGCGACCAGCGCAGCCTCCGCAGCCTGCTTGGCGTGGGCAGCAGCGGGTGCCTTGCGCAGCCTCCACGCTTTGCGCGGTCTTGGCGGCTAGTCGACGCGCCACGCGTGGCGTGGTGGGTTGAGCTCTGTTCTTTGCGGGGGTCTTGCCCGCCCTCCGTGCCGGGCGCGCTCTGGCCGACTTCTGCCGGGCCGGCGCGGCGTGGTGGGCAATCTGAGCGGCCAGTCTGTGTGGACGGCGTGGCGCGGTGGGTTGGGCGACGCGGCGGGCCGGGCTTATAGGCTCTGCGCCCGGCGTGGCGTGGTGGGTTGGGTGCGTGTGGCGCACAGGCGCAGCCAGCGCAGTCTGGGTACGCGGCCGGCTCGGCGCGGTGGGTTGGGTTCTGCTATTTGCGGGCGGTGCACGGGAGTATCTTGGCGATCTTGCCCGCCCTCCATACCTGGCGCGCTCTCGCCGACTGCTGCGCTCGGCCTGTGCGGCCTTCAGCCGGCTGAGGAATCTTGGTTTGATTGCTGATCGAGTGGTTGAATGCTGGCTGCTGAGCCGCTGTGTGGCTTTCGCGGGTTTTGAAATCTCATTATCAGTGTACATCTTGCCGAACTCGACTGCAATCTCGGGCTTCGCTACCAGAATAGGGCTCAAAGGATTAAGGTATATATTCCCAGGCAGTCAGTCTGACAAGGCGCGTATTTTTACTTGCTGCGTAGCAGTACTTTAGTGAGTGTACAACTGTATATGACAAGCTGCAACACTCACATGCAGAATAGGCTGATGTACCTGGTATCCCTACATTGCTGAAAGGGGCAACTAAGGTATAAAATGGCAACGCGCCCTGTTTTTGCAAATAAGAACAAGAATCAACTGATTTGTCTCTCAATCTCTGCCCCTCAGTCGAATGTGTTTGTATTTAATTCTCTGCATCAACCCATTTATCATCAATCCTTATTGCCGCCTTGAATGATTGACTGCTTCACTGCTTGACTGATTGTTGATTGATTGTTTGTTTGGTTGATTTGCTTGATTCGGTTTGATTGATTTGACTGATTTGATTTGACTTGATTTGATTGATTTGGTTGATTTGATTGATTTGTTTGATTTGATTGGTTTGATTGATTCGATTGATTCGATTGATTTGATTGGCTTGATTGGTCCGATTCGTTTGATTTGATGGGTTTGATGATTTGATCGATTTGTTTTCTTTGATTGATGTGATTGATTCGATTGATTTGATTGGTTAGTGGCTTGATTGGTTTGCTGGATTTGATTGCAGTCATGTGTGCAGTCGCAGTGGCCCGAACAGTCCCTCGCTTGGGGGGGTTCCCTTTGGTTGCCAAAAGTACTTGCTCCATTTGAACCCCTTTGCCACAAAATGCGGGGTTCAAAGGCACTCTCTTATGCTTGGCTTACAGCGGCCCCCCCAAAAAAGAGGTTTCCCAAAAGGGGGCTTAGCCAACCCTATCAAATCAGCGGGGCACGCCATTGGGCACCTCTTCTGCCAGGCGGCTTTCGGAGGAGCGGCGGGGCACCTTCAACTCTTGGCACTCCTTCTGGAGCTTCTACCGCCGCTCGCTCTCGGACGGGCACAGCGGCTGGTTGGGCAATTTTGGTATGACCCCGTGGTAGGTCGAGGCAAGCATTGATCAGGGGTTGCTGCTGTCGATCCCTATTTGTTTCCTGAAAAAAATGTTCATGTGTGTTCAACCCCCGAGAGGGTGGGTTGACTTTGCGATGATCAAAGGGAGCAAGGCCACAAGGCGACGGCTGACCGCAAAACCTGTTTCGTTTGGGTCGCTTTGCCTATTCAGAACGCAATAATAAATGTTGGCAAATGTGTTTGTGCCTTTGAATCCCATCATCAAATTCTGGTGAACCAGGGTCCTGGCGCTTCTGCCTCGGGCTTCGCGTTGGCTTCCAGACAAAATTCAGTGATCTGTAAAATGCGTGCTGCCTAAAAGTAGTTTTGCGGCGCCCCAGGGAACGTGTTTCGCTCCATCAAAATGAGTATGGTTTTGCGCAAGTGGTGCAAACCCAGTGGAATTTAGACATTCGGAGTGTCCTTTCAAGAAGTTTGCAAGCCCACATGTGCCAGTTTTCACCACGGCCGACTACCCACGCTGATCTGTGGTAGACTTGTTTTCACCCTGTTTAAGTAGCGCATGATGTTTATTTGCCAAAGGAAGCCAACAGGAGATTTGACATGTTTTGACTTCAGACCTGTGGCATCCGCTTTGACTTTTCGCTTGTCGACTCAAGCACTGACTTCCAAGGCCAAGTGGACAAGGCGAGGGCGGTGTCGCACAAGCTGGCCGACTGACCGTTGGTTTCGGGGCAAGCATTTTGTCCTACGGTCTCCTTTCAAGCAACCGCGACATTTGGGGAGAACTTTGGAGGAAAGGCCGAGTTGCCCCATGAGCACTGCGCGTTTCGCCACAGCCAATCGCTGATCCTTGGTTTTTTTGGGACCCGACCAGGCGAGTTTGTTTCCCTGCTCCTTTGAATGAATCCCAAACATCTCTTTTGTTTGAAGACACTGCGTAATCAACCTTCGCGCTGTTCCTTCCAAAAGTGAGGGACAAAATCTTAACTAATTGAAGGCCTTCTTGCTGCTGTAGGGAGCCCTGGTCTTTGGTTTGTGTAGGTGTCTATCTCTCAGCATGTGTTTTGACAATGTCCTTTCAGTCCAGATATGACCAGCAGGCTATGCAATCCTGCCACACCGTTTGGGTGATGCGGCTGTGGGTCAAAAATAGGTACCCTAATGGAGCCCTGGTAAGTGGAACCAAGGACTAAAACCTGCAGTCCAATTCCTGGTTGCTTAATTTTGACCCGTGCCCAGGTAAGGGGCTAGTAAGACTGGTTATAACCCACTGAACGGAGACTTATACCCATGGCTTCTGTAGTTGTAACCACGGTTACAAAATCCATGGCCAGTGTGGCTTGGGCCACCAAATCCATGTGCCGCGCGCAGTCCAAGCCGGAAGCGGGCGCGCCTCAGTGGCACATGGAGCTAAGCCAGCTGAGCCAGGCGTGGAGCGCGTGGGGATCAGGGATCTGAATCGCCCCGGTCGCCCGAGAAAAAAGGCCATGATATGGCTGTGGGTCAAAAATACATGCCCAAAATGGAACCCTGGTAAATGGAAACATGGACTACGGTCCCCTGGTGGTTTAATTTTGACCCATACCCATATAGTTTTCGGCAACAAGAACTTGGAGGATTCACACTTCGAACTTCGAAGACGGGAATGGCAGTTGAGTCTAGGCAGTGTTCTTTTCCTATTCCAGCTTTGCCAGTGCTTGAATCTGATTTCCCGATACTGGCTCTTCGATAACCATTCAATGATCCTGGCAAGGAGTTCTGTCTCTAGGGCTGGAGTGAAGTACTATAGCTACCGTAGTGTTCGACTGGGCGGGCCCGAAATTATGACAGCAGCGCCCGAAACTTGTAGTGACCAGTTTGGGGAAGGGTCATGACACACCAAGCGTGTAAAGCGATCCGTCGCCAAAGTTGAAGCACCATTTCACGTGATATGTAGAAATGCAACAAATAAACATATATATATGTATATATATATATGCCCTTTCAACAAATATGTAAATGTCGGTTGTGTGTGTGTATGTGTCGAGGTGCACCACAGAGGCAAGAGGCAAGATGCTGACCATAGAGCAAAGGGCGAGCAACTTTGTCACAACTCAAAACAAATAGCCACAAGCACATCTCGTGGGGAGACCATTGAAACCGGATGTGATTTGGTCCAAGCTCATTCTAATCCCTGGGTGCTAGCCCATAATTTGTTTCCGTTCCCTAAAGAGAACCACCCCTGGATGTGTGTTGATGAATTCCATCCCCCTGTTGAACACAAAGATCACACGGAACATCGGTGCAAGAGGATGGCATCTGAGTCTGCCAGGAGCCGGAGGTCGCTCACCAAGCCAGTCGCTACAGAACCTCCCGGGCGCAACCTGGCGAACCGCCGGAAACCACCGGAAAACGCCAACTGGGTAGGTTGGTTACAAGAAGGGACCGCTTGTTTTTTTATTTTTGTTTCCCTTTGAGTTTACTCCTCAAAGAAAGGTATATTTTGTGGGTGACCAAAGGGAAGCCGACAAAAAAATACTTCGCACGCATAACTCCTTCGGTGACATGTGCGGACCCTTTGGCGGAGCTTTATGTGGGATGCATCTCTAATGACCGGTTTGGAAGGTGTTCTCCACTAAATGTCCTATCAATGTGATGATATTGTAGCAGGATCTCCTTCCCATCAATGCACTGGTTAATTCTTGAGCGGGGGCATGATAAGAGCTTCACGAAGGACAGACATCCTTGTTTAGTCATAGTTGTTTCCAGACAAAACAGGTGGAATCATGTTTTGCAGATAGTACATATATATATATATATATATGTATACGTATATCACACGCATATCATATACATGTCTATACTATACGCATATCATATACACATCATTTCAACAACTTAAGTCTGTGTACAAGCTACACAACTCTGTGTCTTTATAATTGGATACACATGAAATCTTGCGTGAGCAAGAGGGTTCCAGGTTCCCTCGAGTACATTCACATACCTTCGGCTGGCGCGTGACTCTCAGGACCACAGCAGCATCCCCACTGCCGGATGATACAGCGCCGCTCGGACGAATTCCAGGGAGCTGTGGCCTCGAAACCTTGGTCCCCTGATCTCAATGCTTTGGTCGGGGGACATGGTGCACATCCAGCAAGCATCTTGTTTCGTTGTTCATGGTAGGCGGACAATGAATGATTTATGCCAAGCAGGGATAGACAGATCACGTTTTCACACTCGAATATTTTTGTGGACTGGAACAACAAGTCCTACAAACCAGCCCCTGAAGGACACCTCCCTCGCTGTCAAGCGCCTATGACCTTGCACTTATCGAGCCCGAACTGTTTAATGGAGCTTCCAAACGACCTCACAAGCAACAAGTCGTAGGGGAGCTGGCTTTTGGGAATGCTGCCACTTCGTTGCGTCCAGTTGGCGAATTGACGTGAATTGATCCTGGGGTTGGGACCATGTTTAGCCGAGTTCCTCCAAAATGGAGGTTTCTTTACAAACACATGTGGGCTGGGTTCTGTGTGAGTTTTGGCGAGTGCAATATCTACAAGGTTGGGCATTCCCACTGGAATTCCTTCCCCTTTCCCCAGGACTGTACCTTTGTACACGTACAGGGACATATGTGGATGGTCCATTTAGAGGGTAACTTCCACTGAGTTGCAAGGCTCGAGGAGGTCGGGGTGGAAGCCGTTTGCCGGGTGGCGCTGCCATGGGCTGCTGCGGCTCGTCTCATATTGGCGAACTCGATGTGCAGCTCGCGCCTGGCATGCAACAGCTCATCGGGTGCAGGAAGGAGTCCGTCGGCAGCCTCAGCTGCACCTGGCTCCCCCCATGGATCAAGGTACATGGCAATCACATAGCAATATGGGACACGGCAGCACGTCACATAAACCATAGTATATGATGCCACAAAGGCAGCAGGGTGACACAAAGGGATGCACTGTCGTGGCGAGTAGAATTGATTCGAATGAGGTAAGAAGAGATGCAAGGTGCAGCGCGTACTGGGAGACAACGATTTATTCCAGGTACCCGAAGAGTAGTATTCTGGGCCAACGCTCCATCTCGTGAGGGAGGGCTGTTTCCCATTGACAAGACTCAGTCAGACTGTCACATTGGCACGGATCGCACTGTGCTGGACACATGGTTTGTTGATATTTGCGTCTGCTTTTCGGCACCAAGGTACATCCGTGAAGTCCAATGGTGAGGCCATTGGTGTGATGACTCGAGCCTTCAGTGGCACTGCAGCAACCACGCCTGAGGGCACCACGGAATGGATCTTGGGGCCATCACTGCGAGAGGATTGGGAAAATCCAAAGCGTCTTTCGCTGATGGCATGGCTTATGAAGGCCGACTGGGCTTGTTGCCTGGCGCGGCCTGGATTTGCACTGGGTATCTATAAGGATGGCAATCTTGGTGCTGTGGTGGTGGTGTTGCCATATGAAAAAGGCATTCCTTCAGAGATGAGCAACACCGTGGAGATCCTTCAGGCCATGCGTCCTCTAGGGCTGCCACCATTGAGGGGGATAAAGGACTCAAGAGGAATACGAGCTCGAGCCTTTGCAGCCATGGACGTCCTCGAACAAGTCAAGAAGAAGCATTGCAGCGGCCCGCATGCACACGTCAGGAATATGTCAGTAGATCCAGAGGCGCAAGGTCTTGGATTTTGTGGAAAATTGATGCGTGCTGTGAATGCCTGGGCGGATAGAAACAAACTCCCTTTGTGGTTAGAGACTTCCGGCACTCGAAATGTGGCTATCTATGAGCGCTTTGGCTACAAGACAATGGAGCAGTTTGCCTTGAAATGCAAGAATGACCCCGACATCCACCAGGACAAATTTGGAATGATGCGACTCCCAGAACCATTGACAGTGGACTGAGTGACGCATGAGATGTTCTGAGTCATGATGTAGACCTTTCCAGCACACATGCAAAGCTGTGTAAAGAGAAAATGTGAAGGTTCAAGGCAAAGATTGCCTGACATCACTGTCGGCTCGATGGGATGCAGGTCAGCCTTTGTCGCGCCCCAAAGGGGTACTGCGATTTCCCTGCCTGGACCGCAACAAATGAAAACAGTGACAAGCAACTGCTGCTCTCTGACGCAAGTACCTAGTGACCTAGATGTGACTAGTGCATCATTCTCTAAGAGCTCTAGGAGGTTGGACAGTCCAAATCAAGGCAAAGTGTGGGGGCTGCTCCCCCAAGCAGGTGGCCTGATTCTTACTGTTCCTGTTGGACCAACCGGACTCGCCCCCGAAAAAGAGAACCGCATCAACAGATTCGAAGCGGTTTGCCCTCCCGTGAAGGCGTCGTTGAGCCGTCCTTTTTTGGGGGTCAAGGCCCAAGGGCCCATTTGGTCAGTCAACTTGCTGGTTCCCCTAGATCAGGGATGATTCTTGAGGGGTCATTTCCTCATTCCCTGAGAAGCAAGTCACAGGTCGGAGGACTGTATGAGCGAGCTGCCCGAGTCGCCGCGCACCGCGCTTCTTGGCATCTTCGGACGTATGAATTTTCTAAACGCAAAGCACTTGGTGTCCCTTCAAGCCGACCCCAAGGGAACCAACTCCAAAAGTACCCTGCAAAACCAGTTGGTAGCCTTCAAAGGGAACCACATCACAGACACACTGGCAACCCGGGCCTTGGTCTTACGGATTCAAACAAGCAAACTTGCCAGGCAAAGGTCTCGTGCGGGGTGGTTCTTCTCAAGGTCACCCCCTGTTTGGATTGTTTTTTTTAGCTGCACTGGCAAGAAACCAGCCAGCCGGTGTGGACGCTCCCCTATTCGACAAATCGATTGATTTCCAGCACAGAAAGCACTCTCTCACTGCTCGTTGCTTGGGCCATAGAGAAACGTAGGGGCCGGTGCTAGAGACGCGTTTGCAGTGACCTGAGCAAGACTTTCTCAGCATACCTTTTGCTTAAGCCTGTGGAGTTTGCTTAACTCTGACTGGGTGCTAAACATCGCACAAATGCGTAAGTTGCATGCTAACAGGGATGGGGATTCTCTTGTTTGTCGAGACTGGTCCTAGGTTGCTTGGAGTGCGATGAGGCTTGATGTGTTTGCTGAGCAGCCCATGTATATATATATATATATGTATGTATAGGCATCCGCCCAACTAGTGACAGCATTCGGACATACGAAGCACCAGAAATCCTACATGGTTCCTTGCGCGTTGATTCCCCTTTCCAGAAAAGCATCCGGTGTTCTTATGCTTTTCTCTTTCGGTGGTTTAAACATCAAGGGGAGACATCAAGCGGCATATGGGTATGTCTTCTCAGGCGAACATGTGGTTGCCCTTCGATTTCCGTTTGACACCTACCAAAAAAGGGGGCACCCTCTGAAAAAACCACCCAACCCCATAGAATAAGGGGCGCTGCTAAAGGGCTAGTTTTACAGTTTCACACAGAGACTTGTCAGGGCGGCAGGTCGGGCGGTTGGTCGTGCTGTCTTGTTGTGTCTTTTTACCGGTCGGTTGGCCAAAAAGATCAATACCTGAGCCGCAGATTCAGGTGAGCCAAGATTAAACCTAGACTGGTAGAGGAAAGTGAGAAGGGGATAGTCCCAGTTTGAGAATGGGTCCTTCTACATATTCAAAATGAGACATGTCGAAAGATGGATATGTATACCTATACACACTAACTATATGTCATATTATCATATATGTATATAAGCATCCATCAATCTCAGAATCATATCTGATCGGTTTGCGGGTTCGAGTACATGAGCATCGAATGGCCATCACCATGTCGCCGAGCAAAATGTTTTGAAGTGGTTCGTTACCCAGAAGGTACCAAGGCACTCGGCTTAGATGATGTGCTGCTTTCATCGTACATCGATAGCGAGGCTGATTCCCGGGGAAGCTGCCCCTCCCACCCGGTGGCACCGGACCAAATTTGGTGACCCGTCAAATGGATCTTTCAGGTGCTTTCAGGTAGAGGAAGTGTGAAGCCCCATGTGTCCTTTTCAGGGGCCGACAAAACGACGAAAACGACGGCTTTCCTTCTGCTTGTCCTTTTCCAACCGTTCAAAGAGGGGTGCCCACAATGACTCAAAAAAGGAGCCACCCACATGGCAGCCTACAGCAAACGGATGGCCACGAGCTGGAAACGGCAGCAGTCCTCGTGACCTGAGGCACCGCCTGGCGCTGGTGGAAGATCGAAATCCGCTGGCGGAGAGGCCGGCCTGGAGCCGGAGGGTGGTTGGTGCGGAGAAAGTTGAACACCAAAAGAGACAACCTTGTTGCTTTCTAAAGAACCTCAGATTTGTTTTTAAAAAAGAGGGAAAACAGAGAAATAGCAAGACGTTTCTTTCTTGTTTTTGATGGACATAAGCGATGTCAATGTCACTTGATGTGTACATGTCCACAAGGCTGTTCCCTGCCCCTCTGGCGGGCTCGCGGATTATTATTATTTTTTGCAAGCGTCAGGATTTCGCCGGCGCGCACCTTCTCCAGCTTCCAGGACCGGGCTTCTTTGAGGTTGAGGCCGGGTTTGGGGTTTCCTTCAAGTGAAAACCACACAAGCTCTCCCATGGCTTGTGGGATAAAGTTGGGTCCAATGCAAGTTGGAGATATCGCTACGCTAAGGGATGACAAATTGCCTTCTTTACCGTGCCTTCATGAGGGTCCTTTGCTTGGGTGCATGTGTATCTTTTTGGTTTGAAGAGAACACACAAGCGGAAATGCTGAGGCCACTTCTCAGTCGGACCGAGGGGATACCGATGTTTCAGTAGGTCAACTGTTGTGCAGAGGGCTAAGGTTTTCAGACTCTAAAATAGTTGAGCCACAATCAAACTCAGGGCAAGCAAAGGTTTGTATGGGGCCAGCCCCAACCATTAAAAGGAGATCAGAAACAGGTGCCCGTCCTTTTGGTTCTTTGCATGGCTTTGGGTCGACCCCTCTAGTACCAGGTTTTGATTGTAACCTTGGGCATTAACCACAAAATGATGTACTTGATGTCCTTCCATTGGTCCCCAGTCGACCCAATATGCCATTATGGGACAATGGCTGTTTTCTCCCACGAAGCTGCAAAAAACTGAGTCCACTTGCAGAACAGTTGGACCCACTTTTGTGCAGAGCATTTCGGTTTGGAAACACATTGGGAGGACTCCGGGCTGAAAGCAGTCGCAAACCGCCAGCTCAGACTTAGCGAACCGCTTGCGCTGTCCATTGTTTTTTTTGGTAAGGTCGGGTGTGTGTTTATCTTTGGGCTGGTGTTTAGAGGGGACATATGAAGAATTTCGGAAGGGTCTGCAAGTCACCTAGGTGCCAAACTCACCAAAACAGCACGCCTAAGCGACTATCAAGAAAGAAGCTTAGTACCCAAGTCCCAACCATGAAATCTGTAGCTGCTGCGCTTTGGGTTCTTTATCTTGTTTCGAGCTCTGATGCCAAATGTTGATATTGATTTATTACTCACCTTTGCCCACCAATCCAAACCACCAATCTTGGGGTTACCTGATTTTAGGCCCTCCAAAACTCAGAAAAAAGCCAAGGGACCCTCAAGCCAAGCCCTGAGCAAACTTCAGAATAATATGCAACATGCTTCCTCTTGACTAAAAGTGAGAAACAAACAGAGATTCAAAGGTTTAGGGTGGAAGGTTGACAAAGTTTGACGGGTTCTATGTCAACGCGTTGGGGTTGGCCGGACATTGGATGCACCCCAGTTTTCCCTTCAGGCGTCCCTTCGGGCTTCGTGACTTCAGCTCATCAGGATCACAAGAACTATCGCAAAGTTCTGAAGGGTGTGACGATGCCGGAACCTCAGCAGAGCAAAACAGCCAGACTGTTCCATTTCGCAGGGATCGTGATCCCCCCCCCCCCCCCCCCGCGTTCCTTTCGGTTTACTTTGAGTCACAGCTTGGGCAGCCCCTTTTGGAACCTGTCAGTTGTTGGATTCAATCAGTTTTGGCGCCATTTGTTTACTTCATGGCTCAACAGCCAGCCGTTGTGTTTCGTTTGCATTGGCATTTGGGCAATTTTCAAATGTGTTGGTTTGCAACCCCACCCCTGACAAAGCTCTGAATTGTGTTGATCCCGGATCTCGGGTTGTGAGCTATGAGACTTCACCCAGATGCCCCGTCTAGGTCCGTTGAACAAATCGCAAGTCAGGCCAAGCAACTGCCCGCTGGTGCTACGCTCTGGCAAGGACGGACTTGTGGATAGAAGTTGGAGGCATTGTGTGGGTGGTAGGAGTTGTTGGCCTTTGCATAACGGGGGTCAGAGACTCACATTGCAATGTGGGCAAGAAATGATACATCGAGCTAGTTGAAATGAATCTTGGTTGATGCCATGTTTGGCGACATGTAAGGCTGTGGACATGCCGCGGCTTTTGTTCTAAGCATGTGGGTCAGATCTAAACAATTCGTGAGCAGAGTGAGGTTCAATGGGTTTGTGCTGGAGACCTACTGCGCATGGGTAGTATTTTATCCTGACCACGTACTCAGGCCGTAAAGCCAAGAAGGGCTGGTTTCTCAGCTTTCTGCGGTCTCTTTGGGTGTCTGCATGAGTGTGTGTGTGTGTGTGTGTGTGTGTGTGTGTGTGTGTGTGTGTGTGTGTGTGTGTGTGTGTGTGTGTGTGTGTGTGTGTGTGTGTGTGTGTGTGTGTGTGTGTGTGTGTGTGTGTGTGTGTGTGTGTGTGTGTGTGTGTGTGCGAGTGCGTGTGTGTGGGTCTGTGTGTGTGTGCGCGTGCGTGTGTGTGGGTCTGTGTGTGCGCGTGCGGGTGTGTGTCTGTGTGTATCTGTGTGTATCTGTGTGTATGTGTGTGTATTTGCGTGAAATTGTGCTTGCGTGCCTACGTGCGTCCGTGCGTCCGTGCGTGTGTGCGTGTGTGCGTGCGTGCGTGCGTGCGTGGGTGGGTGGGTGGGTGGGTGGGTGGGTGGGTGGGTGGGTGGGTGGGTGGGTGGGTGGGTGGGTGGGTGTATGTGTGTTTGTGTGTGTGTGTGTCTGTGTGTGTGCGTGTGTTTTCTTGATGGAGGCCACCCAGTTGGGGATGCCATAGTTCCGTATCTATTTGGTACAAGACCATTTAGGGGATCATTGGTGGTGTCGCCTTCCCTTGGTGTCCGACAAAAAGGTCTCGACAAGAAGCACCACAGGAAGGGCCCAAGGCCACATACTTGAGGGTTGCAGCCTCTTTTAAGCTGTTGGCCTCACTGCATGAACACAGCTGCTGCAAATATCTATTAGCACCAGCAGCGGGACATCTTCCTGTCAAGCAGCAAACCTTGTTACCTCTGGGTATGAGCAACTCTCAAATATGCCTCCTATTTTGAAAAGCCACTTCGACTTTGCTTGGCAGGTGTTTGCTTTGGTGTTGGTACTTCGTTGGGGGGCTGTTCTGAGAGTTTTGTTTGTAGCTACCAGGGGGAGCAACAGGGGGGTACAGGAGTTGGCAGCATGGCAGCATGGTGAGCTTGTTTGGGGTGCGATCAAAAGGCTCGCAGTGTGCCACCAACCGATTTGGACCGCCCACTGGTCTTTGGTGGATCCTTCCCTTAGATCTGTTCGAAACTATGTGATTTGCCGTTGAACGGCCGAAGGGTAGGCTTGTTGCCCGTTTGGAGGTTTGGGGCAAGTCGCCAGGAGTATCGCTGCCCTCGGCGCTTGGGGTTGTCCCTGAGCGGCCTGCCAGCGATGCACCGGCAGGCACATTGGTCGGACCGCTTCCAGTCGCCAGTGGAGTGGGTGTCAGTCCTTACCCACAACAGGCTCCTTCCTTTGAAGGTGTAAGGAGATTCCCTTCCAGTTTTGAGCAGTCCTTCGTAGTACAGTGGATTCCCCAATAAAGCAAGTGAGCCAAGCACATCCAACGGCAAAACCGAGCAAAGTTGCTGTGATTGACAGGATTTCCAAGTTGTGCCCCTGCTTGTGATATTTACTTGGCATCCACTTGATCTCTGCGGGCAAGACAACTTTTGACCTGAAATGGAACCCCTCCCTCTTCCGCAAGAAGTTATCGAAATAATTCCCAGAACCCTCCAAGAATCTTTGGGGTTGGGGGGGGGGGGGGGGCAGGTGTAGTTTTTCCGCTAGAAAGATTAACTTGCCAGTGCATTTGGGTTCCTAGCTGGGTTTGCACACGTTTTGGCCGCAGTCAATAGCGCGTAGGAGGTCAAATGTCGGATTCCTGAGACCTGCTTCGGTGTTGTGTTGTCCCATAAAACATGTTTGCCCAACCTGCATTTGAGTGTGTGTTTTTTTAGGTTCTCCTTTGGTATCCCACCCCAAAACGGGTACACTGCAAAACAGACACCCACTTTGGTGTCGCCACGCCCACTTCGAATTCAAAGATTCTCGGCAACCGCTCAAGAGTCCAAATCGAAGCACCTCAGCTAGCGCTGTCCAGTTGCTCGGCAGGTTCCCCAAGACCACACGCACAAAGCATTGGCTTCTGCAGGCCTGTGCAAGCTTTGATTGTAGCCAGCCTTTTGCAACCAACCTGAGCGCTCGTAAGGCAGAGGTGTGTTGGCCCAATTTCTCGGCGGAGCACCCTTCAACCGCACCTTTCCAGGGATCGAAACGGCATCAGATTTGTGCTGGGCCGAGGCTGCTGAAACTGTTGAGATTCACCCAATGAGGAAACACATGTTTCAGACATTGAGCCTCCCTGACAGGTACCAGCTTTGATTCCTGCAACAGGCGAATGTCACTTATGTCATTCAACCCATCAAAGACAGAGTGCCTGGCTGCCCCTTGGTGCAAGGGTTCAACGGAGGCCGAGCTACTTCCACGATGGAGAAAGTGGGCAACCCCATTGAGGTAGATGAAGGGTAGTAGACCGTCCAAGGCCAGAAGTAGATCAATGTGGAAAAAGCCGCCCTTGTGCCTGCTTTTTATGGAGTTTTGGGTAGGCCCCCTTGACCAGATTTTGTGATGGGACCCTGTTTGGCGGCGACCGAAAATCCACAGGAAATGCAGGTTCCCTCCATTTGGCGATTTGGATTGGTGGTTTGGTGGGCTGTTTCCCATTCACCGTCAAGAACTCGGGGTTGAAGGGTTACCTGAGGAAACCATCCCCCTCAGGACCTCCACAAGCCGCTGCTCTTTGGACCCTTGGCATCAACTCGTCTCATTTGAGGGTGGGGGGGTTGGGGGGAGGGGGGGACAAATTCTGGGTCTCTAAGAAACAAACCACCATCTTTGGGGGAGTACGTGCTATCCTTCGAAATTCTAGTGGCTAGTGGCTGGATAGTGGTTGTAACCCCCTAGCAACAGTCGTTTGGGGGTAGTGGAGCATCAGAGACATGAAGGATTTGGGTTTGATTAAATCGCCAGAAGGAAAATGGAGGACTTCACCCATGAAGGTTGTTTGCTTGGTCCTTATTTCTGGGATAATTCACCCACATCAACGAACATGGCGGTATTTCAATTGGCCTTAAACCGTGGTAAAGAAACTTTCCAGAGCGGGTGTGCGACCCCCTCTAAAACGCAAGACATCTGTTGATCCGGGCTGTCTGAAGATGCAACGGGTTGCCTTAAGTTTTAGCAAGGCTGCTTCTAAGGCTTGAGGACTGTAAAAATCCCAGTGTGCATCCAACGGCCCAACCACTTCTGGATCCCCCTTTGAGGTGGGTTCCCAAAAAGGACAACGCAAACTCCCCCAATAATCCAGCTGGGAGTCGCCAACTGTAACTTGGTTGTGGTTCAGAATGGATGCGGCAATCGCCAATAAAATCCGGATGGTCCATTTTTTTGTGAGGGCGCCCGTTTCAGTGCTTCAGCGTTTTTTGCCAGCGTTTTTCCGGGACTTAGGCGCCAGCACCGCCCGGGACATGCGAAGCCACCGGTGCCGCTTGGAGCAGAAGCAGGCGAGATGTTCGCTTTTGGGTTGATGGATCCAGCTGGTTGGAAGGGAGGCTTTTGGAGCAGGGGGTAATGTTGACCCAATAAACCCGTCCCATGATTAGGAGGGTGTTCCCTCCAAAAGCCCACTAAAAGGGGACACCCCCCTTTTAATCAACCAGGGGTTTATGAATCCGGGGTTAACATTATCCAAATTTTGCTTTTAAAGATGGAGCCTTTCAGAGCTACCGATCGGAGTTCTGTAAGGACACGGTAGGATGGGAGCCACGGATTGATAAACCCTTGGTTGATTAAACGGGGATCCCCTTTTAGTGGGGACTCAGACCAATTTGCAGGGACGCAACCCCTCCGTGAATAGGACGGGATCGCTCCAGGGTCAACATTACACTCGTACTATTCTGACCCCTTTTTGGCCCCTATCCTTTGATCCCCCTTGTGGGCCAATTGAAAGCGACTTTCTGGGAGAGCTCAAGTTGGCAAGCTTTCTAAACGGGGAATTGCCGTTCGCCAATTGGTTCTACAGCCTGGACAAGGCCCCTTTCCAAACCAACACCGTTCAAAAAGGTTTGTGAGTTTTGACACACAGCCACAAGGGATGTGACATGTGGAAGCCAGGAAAAGCGTCCGTATTTCGTATATTTCTTCTGCATGGTGTGTTTTTTCCGGCCGGTGGCCGTATTTATTCAACAACATGTTGACAAAAAGCCGAAAATTATCGTATGGCAATGTGCTGCAGCCAGGCCCGTACGGTTTCTAGGTTGCTTTCTGTTCTTGTGTGGCGATTCTAAGAGAAAGGATGTTCGAACAGAAACCGGGGAGGGTTTCTGAGACTGATGTTTTAACTCGCAAAGTGTTGCAAACTCTGACCTTAGTTCTGAAAGTTTTTCCTGGAGCGACCAGGTTGCTGTATAGATGTGGGGCCAGCGGTTCCAAGTTAGAGTTTTCAATATTTTGTTTGGCTTGTTGCACAAGCAACAACTTGGGCATTCTAATTCAACCCTTGTTGCTCCCCGAATGCCCTTCTCGCAACAAAAGTCTTTTGGCACGAAGGTCTTCCAACTTCTGGCAAAGTGTGTCAAGAACATGTACAGATACTGGGTGAGCTGGCTATTTGAGTGTGGCTTGCAAGACAACACGAGCATTGTTGGCTGAAGGATCCCTAATTTGTGATGCTTGTCCCATGTGAATCTTGTCCCTCTCAACTGCCCTCCCCATGCCTTAAGATCTGGGCGCTGGGTGGACGGGCAGGGGTTTGCCACATTCGCATGCTCAGTCCAATGCCTTCTTGGACAGCTGACCTGCGCCAATTTTCTGTCCTGGGAGGTTGTTTCAGTTGAAAACTATCACCAATGACCTTTGGAGGTCTGTGGTAGTATATTATTCCCATGGTGGCCGCAAATGTTTTGCGAAGGGGACGGGGTCTCTGCATTTGTTGGCGGCTTGCTACGCCGCTACGCCTTGCGGTGTTGCTTCATCAGGGCATGTTTTTTGCCCCTAATCGCCAAACCTGAGCATGGAATGTGGATCTACTGCATGTGGCCAACAACAATATGCATGCGGCAGGCCATAGGCGCAGCAGTCCGATCTGTTGAGACAGAGCCAGGCGGAGGTGAGCTACGGTCAACGCCTGGGTCATACAAGAGGCTAACTAGTTTCCGCCTTAGTCTCCTGTGATCATGACTTGATTTGTTGCAGAGGTTTCCAAAACCCCACTCCCACCCGTTTTAAATACTTGAACTTAGTCCAGACAGCTTTCACGCTGTGGATTCGTTGCCTGAGGTATGTTTGTGACACCTCAGAGACATCCAACGCAGTGCCACCCAGCCACCCCAATGCTTGTGTTTGAACCATCCTTCACGCAGGCGGAGATTGTCTCTGAGCCCTTGTACGCGATCAGAACTATGGCAAGTCACTGCTCAGCAGTTGGCGGTTCCTTCGAGCAGACGCCTTTTTGTTTTGGGGGGTTCTGAAAATTGTTGGGGTTGTTAAGGCAGAGCAAAGGGGAAGCACCCCAAAACGGGGAATTAGTTTTGAGACGCATCCTTATAGTACAAAGAGCAAAGATAATAGTCAAGGAAGGCAGAGATGAAGGGATCTTGGCCGTTAGGAAGATTCGAAAGAAGAGCAATCAACTGGGACAAGCTCAAGTGTTCTTCCCCATCGATGCTTATTTGCAGTTTCAGTTTTTTTGCTTGGTCAATCAGTGCGTGCTTCAGAAATGCATGGTTAGTTGACCACAGCTTCTGGTCGTGTACACCAATTGCAAGTGTTTGCAATTGACTGGGGATGGTTACAAACTCTCTTTCTCGCTTTCTCTTTCTTTCTTTCTTTCTTTCTTTCTTTCTTTCTTTCTTTCTTTCTTTCTTTCTTTCTTTCTTTCTCTCTTTCTCTCTTTCTCTTTCTTTCTTTATTTCTTTCTTTCTGTATTTCTTTCTTTCTTTCTTTCTGTATTTCTTTCTTTATTTATTTCTTTCTTTTTTTTCTTTTTTTCTTTCTTTCTTTCTTTCTTTCTTTCTTTCTTTCTTTCTCTCTCTCTCTTTCTTTCTTTCTTTCTTTCTTTCTTTCTTTCTTTCTTGCTTGCTTGCTTGCTTTCTTTCTTTCTTTCTTTCTTTCTTTCTTTCTTTCTTTCTTTCTCTCTTTCTTTCTTTCTCTCTTTCTTTCTTTCTCTCTTTCTTTCTTTGAGCCCTGCAATTCGGCACTTGCGGTACTGGGTGAGATCTTACAACAACTGCAAAGACTCCAATACTTCTCGGGCCGTGGCATAGATTTACATGTCGCCTGGCCCCTAATATTTGGGTGAGGCTTCTTTTCAGAGAGGGAGGCGACACTCTTTTTGTTGGTTGTTCAAACAGCATGTTGAGGAGACCCCAAACAGCCGTCGAAAGGAATGTTGGTGATCTGGCCATGGCTCGGTGACGTAGCAGGGCACCTAGTCGAGCCGCATGAGGCTATCAGGACGACAGGCCATCCCTGTAGTTTGTTAATGTCGTGAAGGATGGCGTTCCTGTGTTGTAATTATTTTCTCCCAGAACTTTCCATTACGGAAATCACTAGATGATTTTCTCTACTCTTCTCATATCGTCTCTTCTTTTTTAAGACTCCCCCCATCGTTTCCTCTCGAAAGCCGAAAGCCCAGGCGAGCGGCCCAGCTCCCAATGGCAGCCGGGCCTCGAGAACTGGGCCGCTCACCCAAAGGGCGGCATCGAGTCCTCGATGGATGGGGCGGCGAGAAAAAAGCGAGCAAGCAAGCAAGCACTTGGTAAAACCAGGAGAGAAAAAAGGATAAAAAAAAAAACAAGAAGAACAAAAAAAAGCAAGAAACAACAAATGAAAACACAGGAGCCTCGATTGGGGGATGTGGGCGCTGAGTATAAATTTTGGGGCGTACCTGTGCTGATATTGCAGAACTCCACCGTTGATGTTCAAGCATTATCCCAGTTGAACATGTTCGACACCTGTTTATTGATTTGCCTCCGATCTACCATTGCTTGGTGCACGGCGCACCAAACTACGCTTGTGCGAGGATTAGCATCACCGGTCTACCCTTTGTCCGTAGGGAAGGGTCCAGTGAGTCCTCCCCCTTCCGTTTTCGTCAGAATTCTATAATTGTAGTGAGCCCCCATGTCCCTCTCCAATTGACAGTCCCCTTTTCAGTAGGTGGGGTAGCCTCTAGTCAAGGGGAATGAGCATGTGCCCCTGTTGTACATGGACCGAATACACACCCTTATATACTGCCCTATACTCCCCACATGTCAGCCGACATACCTTTAATCGAAAGTGAATAACGGAAAAATCCAAAAGGCGCGTATTTCTTTCCAGGGCTTTGTTACCTGAAATCTTGTTGGCGGCGCTGCAGCGCTCTGAGGGAGACAAAAGTTGTGGTTCAGTTGCTGAACAACACACAACTAGTATTTGTTCAAAGGTCTTGCCTATTGACAAAGGTGCTTCTTGATAAGCGGTGCTGTCATTGGTGATGTTCTTGTTGGCGCCAGTGGTGTCGGAAATGGTGATCGCAACTGTGGTAAGTGGTGGTCATTGGTAATAGTGGTGGTAATAGTGGTGGTGGCGGCGGCACTGGTCATTGGTGCTCTTTGGTGGTGGTGGCGGTGGCGGCGGGCTGTTATTGGTGCTGCTCTTTGCTGCCGGCGATGGCGGTGATGCAAACTCAATCGCTAGGTACGCCTCCGCAGTTGGCGGGAGGAGCGGCACGAAGACGGCCCCTCGCCTGTGGATTCGGCCAGTGGTTTGAGTCGTCAGTGCTAGGTCAAAGCGAGCCACAACGCCACTAGCTTGACGAGCTTGCCAGGCCTTTCTTTACAGCAGCAACCTGAATCAGTCAAGGTGAATAAATATAGGCCCCACCATAGGTTATGTCCCAACCAGAAAGGTACTTCCCCCCGTATCTAGATTCTGAATATATGCAAGTCTTGTGATGACAAGCCTGCATGTCGCCATGTTGTTCCAGAATCTCCTGCTTTGGCAAAATGGGGGGGGTGTTCCGAGGGCGTTCCTTGTTGGGAGGGGAAGCCCTTGTTTAGATTTGATCAGCAGGGAATCGAAAGGCAACCCGCCATTGGGGTCTTCCTACTTTCAGACACCAAAGGGAAGCTGAGTGAAGCTTTTATCGAGGGTCAAGCTGCTTTCGGCACCCAAATCGGGTTTGTGATTTTCCCACAACGCAAAAACACTGGGGGCTGAGGCTTTCGCTCTTTTCTGTGATACCAATGAGAGGGATCCCTCGAGAGTGCCAGAATAGCCATGCAGGTGCGAACCCACTGTTCTAGTATTGCTGCCAGCTTGTTTTTACTAGAACCTCGCTGTACACCCCTTTTTTCACCCAGAAACAGTCGGACCCTCTACGCCGCTCCGTGGGTTGTCCAAATCCTCAATCCTCATGCCAGATGGTAGCGGTTGCCCGGCTGTTTAACGACCCACAGAGAGTCAGACTAGGGATCACCCCCCCCCCTGGTTGCTCAGCAGGGAATGAGGGCATTCCCCCAACAATCCCTTGTGTCCTTTGAGGGAATCCACTTCCGGTTCATTCTCAACCCCGGGTCATTCCCTACCTATCGCACCGCAAGTTTTCTTAGGCCAGGCAGTGCTGTCTTCATCACTGGCCTTCATGAAGCCGGAAGTGCCGGAAGCGCCTCGGGGGAAGCCTGCGGAACCTTTTGCCCCCCAAGGATCTCCTAGCCTTGGCGACGCGATTTTCTGTAAGGAAAGAATGGCACACCCACAAAGCTGTCCCAACATTTGAGCGCACGCCCAATTGAGGTGAGACCATCGGTTGCCCAGAGAAGCAGAGAGTTTCAGGGAAGCTTACTGTGGGATCCTGATCACTTATTTGATCTCCGATCCGACTAACCTACGATCCATTCGGGTCCGGAGGACACGAAGCCAATCATAAAGCCCAGTGGTGTATGTGGTGTTTTTCTTTCTTTATTAGTTTTCTTTTTTTAACATTGGTGGCTGGTGTTGGCCACCCTTTTAGACTTGCATAAGCCATACAGACAGGGTCTCCATTTTTTGGGTCTGGCGAGGTCAAGGCGGAGCCCATGGCGGAGTTCCACCGGCCCTGGTCCGGGCGAGGCCTCGCGGCATCGCTTGCGGGGTCTTGCGGGTGACGGTTTCGGGATAAAAACCAAAGGGAAGCCACGGCTTTCCTTCATTTGGCCGTGGGTCAACAGTAGGTACCCCAAATGGAACCCTGGTAAGTGGAAAACATGGACCAAAACCTGCCGTCCCCTGGTGGCATAATTTTGACCCATACCCATTTGGCAATGGGTTGCAGAACCTATGGCGATCCCATTTTGGGGTGGATGAACATGCAGGCAGCCACCTATTTTGATGTTCAGGGGTACAGGGTTTTGACCCACAGCCATTTGGACGGACCTGGTCAAAATGGTGGTTTTCCATTTGGCGTTCCTGTAAGACACCCCCCAAAAACCTAATTACCCAGCCGCTTCCCTTGGTGGAACCTCCAAATGTGGAGAAGGTTTCCATGGAACCACGAGTAAATTGATCAACTTATGGGAAGATCCAGTGACCCCTGCAAAGGGCTAAAGGACAAGCTGAAAGTTGAGACTTAAGCCATTGAAAGTTGAACCCCCCCCGGTGTTTTCCGGTACCAGATTGAAGCTGGACACCCTTTGAGAGTTTCTGAACGCGGAGAGAACCGCCCTTTGTGGTTGCCAGGTCAAACAAGAGTAACGTAGTTTGGTCCACATCAAGCCCTACGTCCTGTCCGAATCAGCGGTTGCTGAGATCATTTCAAGGATTACAAGTGGATTGAACGGATTGGATCACACAAAATCCGTGGCTTTCCATAGACGACTTCTGCCCCCGCGATGCCAGGCCGCGGTGTAAACCAAGCTGACATGGACGACGATCCCGAGGCACTTCCGCCGCTGCAGCGCTACGCCAAGGCGTTGGGTCAGCCGTCGGGAAAATGTCAGGAATGGATACCTTTGCCCGCCCTTGTGTTTCTTTACATGTTTTCGGGTACGCACCCCGGTCTTTTCTGACTCTTGGGGATTGCATTTGATGCATTCGAAGAGATCAGTTGAGAATTAGCAGAATTAGACACATTTGGATTTGCATGCACTACTAATCCTTTCCGCATGTCGATACTGAGTCCGTGAATTTAGATGTTCCGGGGCCAAGGGGCGGCACAAAGTGTACTTTGTTGCATCTTAAATCAGTCTTGTCCATGAATATGCTTCAACACATCTGCCTAATTGTTGGCAGCTTTCCTGGGGGCAACACGAGCTCAGCATGATCTCAGTGGCTCATGTTTCAGATACATGTATGCATGCATACATCCAGACATACCAACATACAAACATACAAACATACAAACATGCGTGTGTGCGTACACATACACACATACATACATACATACATACTTACATACATGCATGCATGCATACATACATACATACATGCATGCATGCATGCATACATACATACATCACATAACATAACATAACATAACATAACATAACATACATAACATACATAACATACATAACATACATAACATACATACATAACATACATACATACATACATACATACATACATACATACATACATACATACATACATACATACATGCATGCATGCATGCATACATACATACATACATAACATAACATAACATAACATAACATAACATACATAACATACATAACATACATAACATACATAACATACATACATACATACATAACATACATACATACATACATACATACATACATACATACATACATACATACATACATACATACATACATACATACATACATACATACATATACATACATACATACATACATACATACATACATACATACATAACATAACATAACATAACATAACATAACATAACATAACATAACATAACATACATACATACATACATACATACATATATACATAACATAACATAACATAACATAACATAACATACATACATACATACATACATACATACATACATACATACATACATACATACATACATACATACATACATACATACATACATACATACATACATACATACATACATACATACATACATACATACATACATACATACATACATACATACATACATACATACATACATACATACATACATACATACATACATACACACACACATACATACATACATAACATAACACAACATAACATACCATACCATAACATAACATTAACATTAACATTAACATTAACATTAACATAACATAACATAACATACATACATACATACATTCATACATTCATACATTCATACATACATACCATAACATACATACATACATACATACATATATATATATATATACATACATACATGCATACATACATACATATACATACATACATACATACATTCATACATGCATACATTCATACATACATACATACATACATTGATACATTCATACATTCATACATACATACACACACATACATACACACAGACATACACACAGACATACATACATACATACATACACACATACATACATACATACATTCATACATTCATACATACATTCATACATACATACATACACACACACACACACATACATACACACATACATACATACCATAACATACATACATACATACATACATGCAGACATACATACATACATGCATACATACATACATACATGCATACAGACATACATACATACATTCATACATTCATACATTCATAGATTCATACATTCATACATACATACATACACACACATACAGACACAGACATACACACAGACATACATACAGACATTCATACATTCATACATTCATACATTCATACATACATACATACACACATACATACATACATACATACATACATGCATAACATAACATAACATAACATAACATTAACATTAACATTAACATTAACATAACATACATACATGCATACATACATACATACATACATTCATACATTCATACATTCATACATTCATACATTCATACATTCATACATTCATACACATACACACATACATACATACATAACATAACAAAACATAACAAAACATAACATAACATAACATACCATTAACATAACATAACATAACATACATACATACATACATACATAGATACCCTGAAAGGAAGGTTGCCCGGGAGCAGTGCCTGCGGTGTCTTTCCGGTGTTTCTACCCGCTTCCTCTGTGGCAAGCGCTGGGGACGCGTGCTAGGGGACCGGACAGCTCACTTGCCAAACTTAAGCGGTTAGGTTTGGCGCGCCGAGCCGCCAACGCTCGAGCAGTTGCAATCTCGGCCGAAGGCATCGCTTGTCCTGGGCGCTCGAAGAGGTTGCTCCCGTGTAGCAAAGGCCGGACTCATAGGAGACCTATATAGCTCATCGCTTTGAGTTCTCACACATGGCTTCAAACAGATTAAGCACTAACTCTAACACGATTGGCCACACCGACCAGGTCTGCTTAGATTGCGGCCTTCACCCGCAGCAGGCTGCCGTAGGCTTCTTGGGCAGGCACCTTGGCCGTGCACAACACATGGGGCGGGTGTGTGCGCGTGACCTTGTTTCTTGTTTCCTAGTTTAGTTAGAAGTCATGTAATTAAGGCTTGACAGTCATGTAATTAAGGCTTGACATGGACTTGTGAGTGTTTGCCTTTCTTTGAGTGGAGGTGGGGATCATGCCACACCCAAGAGAACGGTGAACGTCAATTGCTTTGCTCTCAACCCTGCTGCGTGTTTCCCGAATGTCGCGAGGAAGCTGACCGTATTTCACTTCAGACACTCAGCAGCGCCATGTCACTGTGTGTCAAGAATTCTTGACTTCTGCTTAGTTTGACATGTGTTGCTCGGACTGCACCGCTTTGTCAATGTTTTTCAGGGGATCTTATTGGCCTGAAATTCGTGGTGATAGTAGGCAGGGCTAAAGTAGACCCAGCGTTGAAGAACATAGCCCTTGGGCTTAAGTTGTCGCAGAGCAGCTGAACATGAAACCTTGATAAATAAATATGAGGCCCCAAAGGCTTGAAGGGTTTTGACAACCCAGGCCGAGAGTTTCCTCGGGTTTTCATTCAATGTTGATATCGCTTTGGGATTTTGCTTCGCAAGCTTACTTGGGACGCAACCAATTGGCCAGATTTCTGGCAGCGTGTTGCGGGAAGCCTGGACCGCATTGGTCTTTTGAGCATAGGGCGAATGCAAGTTATTATTATTATTATTGTCGCCCAACACATGCTGTGACCCTATGAACTTGCTGCACCTCCAAGCGCCTGGGTGACCTCCAACAGACACACCCACAAACCAGCAAGCAAACAACCAAGTACGCAAGCAAACAAACACGAAAACGAGATAGAACGAGCAAACCAGGAAACGGCCACAGTACCCATTTGTCGTTTTCCTTCCAACGCACTCCGAACGATGCCGACCCCCGCCCGGCCGCCCCGCGAATTCGGTCTCGTCGGATTCGTCGGAGGCAGTTGCCCTTCCTGGAGCTCCGGGGGTTGTCGTACTGCGACGAGGACCTGTTGGCGCTCACCGCCGCCTTCCCCTCCGGAGGAGCCGAGTGGCCAGTGGAAATTTGGAATGGGAAAGCCGGGGACCCGAACTGGGCCTTCATTTTTTGGGGAGGTGTGTGTGTTTTTGGAAAGTGGGTACGGTGACAAGTGGGTATGTGTCAAAATCGGGGGCAGAAAATTCAAAATGGGTTGGGCACTCTCAGCAAAACGACACTGCGGGGAAACTGGTGCTATATCGTTGGGAATATCAATCTGCATGCGAGTTGCTTGATTTTGAGTGGTTGGGTATGTGCTGAAATGCGGATTTGGACTGGGACCCAGGCTTTGGTTTCCTTGTGGTTTCCATTTAAGCCAGCCTGAGAAGGGCACCCTCAAAAAAACCACACACACACACACACGCTCATCAACACGTTGTTGCGAACATCAACTAGTTGAACCCTTGTGGTGGCCAACCAGAAACTTCAACTGGTTCCACCGGCATCCAACCAGACAAAAGCAGCTGCTTACCTAGTGTAGTGGCAGCTACATACAAAGACGAATTCGCTAGCCCGTGCCCTTCACCGAAGTTGAGCTTTGCCACTTACTATTCTTTATATCCATTGCTCAATCAGGATTGTGTGACTGTGGGTAAAGGGAAAAGAGTCTAGCTGGAATCACGCGCCTGGAGTGCCAGCCCACCGAATAGAGCTCAAGATCAGGTTTGGTCCCCTCCAAACTGCCTGATGACGTATGCACTGATATGTTCAGAAATATATATCCATATGGTCCCCCCCGGTCCCCCCCCCAAAAAAAAACACGAGAGAAACAAAACAATCCAACAACAACTTGTTTCGAGGCTTTAGCAAGTCACTGCATTTCCAGCATTTGGTCGTGCTCCCCACTAAAAACCATCAAGCCGCATTCAATCTAAAAGAACAATAGCATGTCTGGCGTTTTAGCTCTTTGATAATGTTGTGCAACATTCCCCCATTTGCAGCCATGGCGGGAAAGTTTGCTTTTTGGGTCCGGTGGATGTGTTGAGCAACGTTTCCCAAATGTTGCGCAGCATTTTGGCCAACATGTTGCACCAACCGGAAAAAAAAAGCCAACAAACCAAAAAAAAAAAGCAATCCTACCCCCACTATGGCTGGAAAGTAGTGTTGTGTTGTTTTTGTCCAGTGGAGATGTTGCTCAACATTTGCGACTTGTTCAACGCTTTTTTTTGGCTTTGGTAGCTTGAAATCAAGATTCCCAGAATTGTTTTTCAATCTCGAATCTTGGTCCCAAGAAAATAATTAAGTGTTTCCAGCATCTTTGTGCTTTTTCCACAGGCCCGTTATGTTCGATCTGCTAGTCGCCCCGCTTGAAAACTCAGTTGTGACGGGAAAATTGACAGGCGTCGCGCAGCTTGACCTTTTTCTTGCGAGGTCGAACGACGATCTGACATATGCTGAACATACCGCATTTTACTGCGCTCTTTTTGAAGCAGATCTAAGTTGATCGAGCCTACTTTCCTGTGATTTGCTTGGCTCAGTTCGCGCTTAGTTAAAATTGCATGGACTTAGATAAGGGCAATTAACCTGTTGCAATTTAAGTTGATATTTTCATTTCAACTTGGCATTTCAATAGTTATTCTTTGACTGCATAAGGAAATCGGGGTGCTTAACGCTGAACTTAGTTTGAGCTTGAAGCGACATTCAAAGTGGACCCTTCTTCTCATATTTGATGTTCAATCATTGTTAATGACTGTATCCTCGCAACACAAACCAGACAAGCAACACATGAGTTTTGATGGGACTTGCGTTGCAAATGTCATTTTAGCAGAGTTGAAGTAGAATGCAAATGGAACTGAGCAAGGACATTGGGCATCTTAGAGTTGATTTGGATCTCAATTTCAAATAGGTTTACATGGGAATTAGTTACTTCCCCAAGAATAGTTGCAGGTGTGCTGCTTGTCCCTGCAGAATGATCAGAGTAAAAACACAACCACAGAACTGGTCCAGGCACGCTGAAACAGCCAAAGAGTACTTTGCGTGCTACTCTCATAGTGAAATATGGAGCTGGAGCTGCAATCGCTTACTACCAAGTGGTACGCGATTCAAGATGCTGGAAAAAGATGCCAGGGGAATCTTGAATTCCATGTACCTCAAAGTGGATTGAACGTCACGCTTCTCAAGATTCAAGAAGCAAGGTTCTTGAATCTCAAATCGCTGAACAAATGCAATTTTGGTAGGTTTTGGGAGAGGGGGTGTAGCATATATAGGACCCCCGATACCCAAGTTTTCCTTCATGAAATGCCACATAAGCTTTTCAGGTGAGCAAAGGTCTCTTCTCGAGCTTTTATCTTGCCTTTTCTGCCATTTCAAGCTGCAGGCAGATTGTGCTGCTGTAGGAAGACTGTGTTGCCAAATTATTGTAGGAAGGTTGTTGCTAAACTCTGTATAGCATGTAGAGTTTATACACGAGTCTGGGTTTATTTTCTAGATGCGTGGTGACCATGCGGTGCCAACATAGTCTTGAAGTCTAGGCCCAGCGGGGGGTGACAGAGGGGCAACTCTTGAGGGGTCAACTCTTGTCACCAAGAGTGCGGACCCCGGAACTTCAAGAGAGTTTATAAACTAGAACTTAGGGTTCATAACTTTGATGTTCCTGGGCCAACCTCCCAAAGGATTGTCAACCTCCCTACAGTCTTGGGACACGTTTGTTGGGTGCAGTCTCCTAGATGGATTTGCAAAGGCGTGTAGCAGAGTGTTCGAACCCATGAGAAATGTTCCAAGCCTTGACTGGTGGTTGACCTAGAGAAGAGTTGCATGCTGTTTGTGCATTTCTGGTGCTAATTACGCTGATCCAGGGATCTAAATCCAGGAATTAAATTCAGGACTTCGATTTGGTAGCTGTAGGGTCATCCAATGCTTCATTGAAAGTGTCCTGGACATCTTGGATATTGGGTTCTCAGGATTTAGATTTGGATCCTTAAATCCAAGTGTTTAGGTATCCGCACCTTGAGGGATTCGATTCGTTCAGGGAGACCTCCTTCTTTCGTTCGCTCTCGAGTCTCGAGGGTCGTTTTTCAAGGAGCCCTCCTTTGTAAGGCTCGGTACGCTTTTAGAACTGGTCTTTTCAGGGAAATCAAAGGGACACCAAAGCCAATTTCTTGAGGTTCCGATTCCTACTGTGGATGGACAAAATTCTGCACCGCCGAGGAAGCCCTGGAATGATGACCCAGCTCCCACATGGGTACAAGGGAGGCACTAGCAATATAATATATATATATATGTGCAGAACAAGTTCTCAACCAAAATGCAGCTTTCTTGCGACAAGCCCTTTTCGGATCCTGACAGAATCTTAGATCTGTCCAGTCATGTCCATTGGCCGGTGCAAGTTTGGCTCGGAGTCCAGGAGCATTGGAGCGGCTTGACCTCGGGGAGAACTCCAAGCGCCATGGATCAATCGATCGTAAGGCCGCATCTGTCGGCGTGTTGATACAAGCGGTTTGCATTTCGTTTGCATTTGTTCGGGGAAAGGCCGCACTAAACAGGTGCATCGAAACTAGGTCAAAAGGACTCCTCCAAATAGCGCCTGAAGCTGGTTTGAAATTAAAAGCGGTCCTAAGGGTTGCCAGGTCTTCCCAAAGTGCGCTTCTGATATCTGACTCTGTTGGTGCTGATCCAACTCGTTTTGTCAAATTGGAAGAGAGCTATGCATCTGGGAGGGGTGCCAAATTCACAGCACTTCTTGCATATGGCCCTTCACTTCACTCGCCCAGAGGCCTGAAGTAAGTTGATGTTCCTTCGACCAGCAAGGTTGCATTTTTGGAAGTCGCGGCAACCTTCATTCATCATGAACACTTTGTTGTGCTTTGCCAGCCAATCTTCATAATATCTCAATATGTATATCGGATGTGCATTTATATTTTCCCCTAAGGCTCCAAACTCCCACCGGGTCTCGGACACTCGCCGGGGCCATTGATAATCAAACATGATGCCCCAAGGTTTCCGATCCCTCGAGAGGAGGGCCCATGATTTGATTATAAGTTTGTACGCGCTCCCACACACACACACACAGAAGCATAAACACACACACAAACACCCACCCACCCACCCACCCACCCACCCACCCACCCACACCCACACCACCCACCCACACCCACCCACCCACCCACCCACCCACCCACCCACACCCACCCACCCACCCACCCACCCACCCACCCACCCCACCCACCCACCCACCCACCCACCCACCCACCCACCCACCCACCCACCCACCCACCCACCCACCCACCCACCCACCCACCCACCCACCCACCCACCCACCCACCCACCCACCCACCCACCCATCCACACACACACACACAGACCCGCGCGCTAGTTTCACAAGGCGTCCAGTGTGCATATGCAACGCAAACCGGGTTTACCTGGTAGCCCTGCAACGACGCCAACTCGTGACCCAGCACGCAGCAAGATGTGAAAGGATGGGTCACACATGTTTCACGCATTTCGAAAAATCACATGAAGCATGAAATGATGCTTTCGCAACAACTGCCACACACATCTATTGGGCATGGACGCCTAGGGGCAGGTGGCCATCACGTCATGTAGGGCGTTGCAGCGATGAAGTCCGCTTTTTGCGTGGGAGGGACGCGAAGCTGCGTGGCTGCAGCGGCTTCGTCAGCCTCATTCAGCTTGGAACACGCTACAAGACCGTCAGCGTGGAGGGGCATTGCAGCGCATGAGTTTGCTTTCTGTGTTGGAGACCTCGTGCAAAGTCGTGTAGCGAAGCCGGCGGCCTCGTTTGGGCTCGTCTAGTTGGGCATTGCCGTGTGTTTTGGCGCGTCGCGGCCTCGTCGAGGAGGCTTTTCTTGATTGTCACGCAGGAGCTCCAGCTTCTCGCCGATGTGGAAAGATGTTTTGCGGCGGCTTGCCGGCTGTGGTCTCCGTGCTACATCGAGGTCACTGCGAAAGACTCAGAAACAGTGGGGCGCTGCAAGGGCGGCGCAAGATTGTGGCAGGAGCCCGGTCAGCGACCAATGTGCATTCTTACAAAAAGTTAAAAGGGTGTCCCACAGCTTGACTGACCGAAAGGGTGTGGTTTCAAGAGCTTTTGTGGAGTTTTGTGTGCAAGCGTGATGCGGCGTGTTTTTGACAGCCTAGGGGCTTAACGATTGCCAAAGTGGCCATGGCAAGCAGTGACGCGCCAGACTTCACGCGACGAATCAATCAGACACAGCGGAATTGCGGCGTGCTTGGGCCGTGGCGAAGGCTGGGAGCAGGGCTCAGCAAGACAGCCTGCCTCACTGCCATGGCGTTCGTTTTCAGCAGACATAGTCTTGCCGTGGCAGATGAAGCTGCGGGGGGTGCGCAGAGGACAGGCGTTGCTTGGTGTCACACACACACACACACACGCAGGAGTCAACCCCACAGTGTGGAGCTGATGAATGACACCTTTGTTGACACCAGGAGAACGCGGCTGGCCACAGCATGTCTGTTCATTGCGCAGCTTCGGCTTTATCAATGGCGGAGGCATTGCGACATTGGAAATAGGTGTTCGCCGCCAAGCAAGTCTGGCTTCGACAGGCAGCATGCCCAGGTTCCTGTTGTGATCTGATCGTTTCGGACCCTCGGGCCCTCAGGCGCAAAAAGCAATGGCCCATGAGGCCCACGTCGGTGCGTGCTCCAATGCTAGGAAATGGGCCCTGAGTCTCTTGTTGGAGAGCCCGCTACATGTGTTGGAGGCTTTTCTGGAGAGTTAGTGAGATATATGTATGGATTTGGATACATAAATCTATATATATATAACTATATATATATATACGCGTGTATATCATACATATACACGCACATTTATTTTGCTACATGTGTGCATATGTTTATCTATATATATATATATTTATGTTTGTGTAGTCTGCGGGGGATGCGCGTACATTCTCAGGCCCCCCTCCATGTCCACTTGAAACAGGCAGGGTTCGGGCGCGCTAGCGCGTTTCAAAGCCGGCCCGCCACATGACTCTTAGGCAGGCCTGAGCATTTCCTTGTTTCATGAGTGCTGCTTCAGCATGCTGAATATGTCAGCGTTTTTGAACTTGCTTTGATTTGCTTGATAACACAGTATCTGAACAGAGCCTGCGCAGATGCTTCTGCGAAAAGTTCAGCCACCTTACCTAGGGGTACAGCAGGCTCACCCACGATGACCCGAGGAACCATCCCTTGTCCTGGTTGCCTCGGGTATCTCACTTGTAGTTCCCACCACTGAGGATCTCTGACCGATCTGTATGTCCACTGCTGGAGTGTGTTGCCTCGAGGTATGCAGACTCTTGGATCACAGGGAAAGATGCAGTCCAGGAAATGTGGGGGTTCATTTCGTTTCCCCCCATACTTGGGTGCGTGCGTTTTTTGGAGGGTACCCTTGTTGGGTTGGTTGAAAAGGAAACCAAAAGGAAAGCGCCCGATTTTAGGGGCCGCCTTATTTTGACACATATCCACTTGTCACCCAATTTCGCTGGCCCGCCCAATGGGAGTGGATAGTAATTGGTTCTTATCTTTGTTGTTCACCCCTCTTTTGGGGGGGACACCCCCAAAACCCCCGCCCCAAACCACCCGTTAAAGATGAGTAGACAAGTCCCAACTCAACAGTAGGACCAATGAATGTTTTACCATTTATATAAAGGTTTTGAGTAATTTAGTCTTAGAGATGGCTTTATGTAAGTCCAAGCCTATGAGATGCGTCATGCAAGACCTAAACCAAGTCATATCCTTCTCACACATATCTGGCTTTGGCGGTGGATGGCAACACGCAAGTACTCCTCAAAACATCGGTGGTTTCAGCAAGATGCGCAAATGAGCCACACTCAACACCTAGGTTGATGAAGATGGTAGTCCCAACCATAAATACATCCAGGTCATTAGCGCCAGGGGTGTGCTGAATACAGGTTTTGCCCCTAATTCGTTCCACCTGTCGTTGTTTCGAGGAATCACAGGAAGCCCTTGGAAAGGATTCGTTGGGAACGGAACTTCACTCCCGAACCCCGAGCCTCAAAACAAACAAAGCATGGACTCCTAAACCAAGAGTTCATACGGCAGTTGAAGGATATCCCCGACAGTAATTGAAGCGCTCGAGGTAACTGCCCACTTCCCTCAAATATCAAGCCCGTCGGTGAATAGCATGTGAAAGCCACAGCTCATTGCTTCCTGTCTTCAAAGAGACGGGGCCCCAGAAACGGATCGAACTCCGAGGCTTTCGCTTCAGCCACCCGCTTGCGTATGTTTCAGCTGGCCCTGTTTCGGCTAAAAGGCCAAGATCTTGTGGTAAGGCGAAAGGCGGGAAGAAACTGGGTTCTGGGCAACTTAAGGGACCTCAGAAAAGCAGCTTGCGACCTCACTTATGATGAAGCCTCCTTGCTTGCAGGGGCTCCCTAGTTTTCGGTGGTGAATCATTGCAATTCCTGCAGACCGGGAGGGGGAATTGTGTCTGAGACGAAGTCCACTTGTTCGATGGAGCCATGAGCCCTCAGAAAGTCGAAGGGTCAGGTTTCTTATATTTATCCTCAAAGAAATAGGAAAGGATAAGCTTCAACCGCCTACGAAGTGAGTGTCCGAAACCCCAAAACCCATGGCTTGGGTGGGTGTGAGTTTACTTCAGTCAGAGTCAGGATGTTCTTGCCTGCCTCCGCCTGGATCGCTGCACTCACATTGGACGCACCTCGGGTTGGAAAGAACTCGAGGTCGCTCACCTGGGTGTGGGTCAAAATGAAACCACCAGGGGACCGCAGGTTTTAGTCCTTGGTTCCATTTACCAGGGTTTCATTTTGGGTACCTAGTTTTGATCCACAGCCACCTATCGTCGGAGGGAGAATGTCGGGTTTGTCGTGTCTCTTGCAGAAAGCTTTGGGCACCGAGACAGCCTGTAGAATTGACAAAGGGCCATCAACCAAGCCTCTCGTTATTGCCAAAAATTGTGTTGGACAGGGGCTTCAATACAGGTCCAGAATCAAACATGGGTGAAAGTAAGGGGGTCCTGTTTGCCAATACTAGACTAAGTGCTGTTATTGCTCTTGAGTTGGGGCAAAAGAGATATTGGCAGTCTCTTGCCTCCTTGAGACTCTCAGTACGATAAAAAATGGCTCCTTTACTGACAACAAGTTTATGCCTGATTTCTTACATCAGCATGTGTTCATTTAACTCTCTGGGCATGATGAAGGTTGCCTGTGTGTTTTGGTGGAATTGTTATGATTCACGCAGATGGCTTATTTGTCAGGCCAGGGATATCCTGGCTGGACGCCCACAAGCGGGCCGAACTGATGGTCTCGCCCCAGTGGATGAAACGTCTGCAGAATACGTTGGTTGGTCCAAACATGTTGGTTTCTTCACGATAATATGGAGCATCAGAGTACATCATATCGGATTCCTTGCAGATTCCTTCCATTGGAACACAGGCCGTGGCAGCACTGCTTTCCAGGTTTTGGCTGTGTTTGCTGTGCAGAGGGGATGGGAGGTGGATTCAGGCGGTGAATTTGTGTGTGTGTGTGTGTGGGTGCGTGCCAAGCAACCCAACTAGTCTGTAAGTTCCACGAGCAAAAACGAGGAGAGGGGGATGCCGCGCATGGTGTGCCACTGCAGTGACAGAGGATCTATAGAGTGTACCAAGGGCAGATATGTTTTCTATCTTAAGTTAGGATCTTGATAGAAACTTGTTTGCACATAAGATGTTAGTTCACCATAATTAGCATTTACATACTAATTCAAGGACACCATGCCATTAGATGCTGTTGATATTGAATCAATATGACTGAACTTGCATTTTCTGGAATGTGATTGTGTTGTAGTTTACTTGACGTGTTTCCTGATTAAAGTTCATTCAAGTTCGAAGTAACTTGTCATCAAACTCCAAAAGAAATCCTTTTCCAAAAACGTGCAGACAGACATCGAAAAAGCAAAATCACAATCTGGCAGGGGAAATATTGGCACATAGTCAATAGAACACCTAAAAAAACAAAAGCATCGAGAAATGGGGGGGGGGAAGAATCTGGCAGGGGACACTCTTGGCACACCCCATCATCTCTGCTACAAGATTGTTGTTTTTTTCATGTTCGGTCGATTTCTTGATGTTTTTGCAGTTTCAGACTTGTCAGTGAGGAAGGTCCAAACATTTCCTTTGTCATAATTTTAGATGTGTGTGTTTTTCTTTCTCGGTTTCGACTTGTAAGTGAGTAAGATTGATTGCCTTTGTCAGATTGTTTGTTGGTGTTCCCACCCCACCCCAGATTTATCGATGTTGGTTTGGTAAGTTGGTCAGATCCAAACATGTCCATCGTCACTTTGTTTTTCTCAACTTATTGATGTTATTTTTAGGTTGATTCTCAGAAGATTAGAAACCACTGGTGACATCGAGACTCCTTTCTGAAAACAATATAGATGGACTGTTTGCTCTTCAGCCCCTTTTTGTGTGTTTTATGTTCTCCAATCTTGTATGGTGAGAACTAGTGATACTTTTGTCATCAAGTATTCTAGTTGTTCTTTTTGCTTGCCCATTCTCCTGAGGCAAGTGCTTGCAGCTTCTCACTCGTCTCATCCACGGGCCGATGCTGAACCTCCAGCGCCTGGACATCTCGGGGGTCTACGTCAGCATCGGCGCGGCTTGGTGTGGCCGAGCTCGCGCCGCGTCGCTTCGGTGGCCGAAAGTCGGCCGGGCCGCTTTTGTGGGGAGAACGCTCTTTTTTGGGGTTGGGGAAGGACAACACGATGCTTTTGGCATTTCTAAAACTCAACTTTAGACACCAAAGGAGTACCCCGTTTTCGGACACATCCCAAATTCAAACATTGACGAAACGGGTTGGGGAACCATGGGATGGCTGCCCGAAAGCGGGTCAACCAATTTAAGTCTTTGTTTCACAAGAATGCGGGGGGAGACAGAATAGGGGGTCCTTGGTATATTCAAATATCTACGTGGACGACTAGATTGGGCAGAAAGGTCCCCTCACATGGATCTTTTGTGCACTAAGGCGGGACCTCATTCGCAGGCTTGTTATTGCGAAGTGGAACTGATGGCAAAAGGGCAGTATTTTGATGGTGGGTTCGCTGGCCGCACCGTCATCCACAGGACTAAACTGGTCGAATGTTTGCACGTAGGAGCATCACTACAAGCTGCAGGCTGGCAAGGCTGCCTTTTGCTTTTCCATCGCGCTTGGCAGTCTTCCACAAGCAGTCCATTCCTGGTTTCTTGGTCATAGTCACATTTTTTCCAGCACAATGCTTCAGTTCGCTTCAAAGGGCAAGTAGACTAAAAGTTGCTGAAACGCAATGCCTCAGGGTAAGGCAGTGCTCAGGATAGGGTATTGGGTTGGGCCAATCCTGAGGAGTACCAGAAGCTGGCCAATGCCATCGAAAGGCACGAGCACCTACAGGAGGTGCAGCTCGGACGTACGAGTGGGATCCCCATGGCATCCAAGTTGTCCAGCCAAAAGGGATCCCAACAGTGGGCCCAGTTGAAACTGGAATCCCCCCTGCAAAATGGGTAGCATTTTGAGTCACTGGAACACAAAGGACAACCGACTTGGATCAGATGCTCTGGCACAATTGGTGACTCGAACCCCAGACCTTGCGTATGGGGGGCAAGTAGATCACGCATTGCTTTTTGCATAGCATGCTCCCCTTTGCAACATCACGGGATTTGCCTCACGAGTTTTTCATTGAGCTTGGTTTCCACAGTGGTTTTCGAAAGTTTGTCTTAGCTCGGTTTCCTATGGTTTCCTTGCTGGACACGCCAGTGTTGGCTTGCATTTGTTTCTCAGGCAAATGGCTTGGGGGATGTGGGGAACGGGGGAATTGGATCGTTGGGAAATCTTAGAAAACCTGAATTGAAAGAACACACAGGGTTGTTTGTCCAAGTCAGGTAGACAATGGTACTTTCGCCGGTTCAGCATGTCTGCCAGATTCCACATTTCTTGTCCATGCATTCTCTGAAATTAAACGGTAGCTCAACCTGATGTTACTCTAAGAGCTGTGTAGGAAAGGAAGTGCTTTTTGAGTCAGCGTGACATATCCGCATATCAAGACGTTCTATGAGCCTTTCTTGACGGGTTAAGGCGCCTTAGGTGTTCTGCCATCACTGGCCCCTGGAGAAGACTTCGATCAGGGCTTATCCTAGACTCTCGACATCTACATAGGGCCGCTGATACTCTTGCGCATGTGGTTAGAGTCTTGCGCTAAGTGGAGCAACCCGACCGATTAGTCTGACATGTACCCACTAGCAGAGGCGCCAGGTCTTCATGTTGGAGGACATTTGTTTTTCAGGGGAACCATGCAGGATTTCAAGGCAAGATATCTTATGATGTTCGGAGGGTTGCTCCTGGTGTGACTAGTGTGCCTAAGGCTGTGTATTGACGCGTGGAGTTGCTGTAGTAGCAAGCCAGGCTGGAAAGGGTTGTGCACTTTAAAACCGCCTCCTTTGCTAGTCTGCGAGATCTTGAGGTCTCTGGCTATGACGGGGATCAGCCCTGACCTCTCGATCAAGGCTGGGGCTGCGTCTTGATTTCAACAGCGGTGCGAAAGGTATCAAGTTGAAGCAAGTAATTCGCACTGAATGCCAGACATCAGCAAGCCAAGTCCTTTGTCGTAGTTTTGTGCATGGGGCTTGCCGCAAGAACTGGACTTGGTCCAATTTCTTGGCTCGATGTATTTGCCGATCACACGTGGAGGAATTAAGGGGACACGAGAGGTCATGCAGTCGCTTGGGAGCGGGTATTTAATAGAGTGAGGGATGGCGACAATAGGAATCTGTCTCTCTTTCTCTCGCATTCCCAAATATCAATCTCAGCAAATGCTTAGGAGAGAGAAAGCCCCAATCACCCATCAATTTTTAGTATCAGGTTGATTGGGTACCAGCGGCCTCCATATGATTCCTTTTGGGCTGCTGGGGCTTCCTTCGTCCGCCACGAAATACCCAATAAAAAGATGGGTCGGAGGAAGGTTGGAAGCGAGCTGTAGGAAGTCCGCCGGGCGAAGCAAGGTTGGACGGTTGATCATCTCTCTTCCCACCCTCTTATCTCTCGTCTGGCCGGCATTTCCTTGCCCAATAGCTCTTCGATTCCTTTCCTCACGAGTTAGCGACATAAGGTAGAAGTTTGCTCAAAAACAAACATGGAATCAGAATGAGGCTTTCTCTGAGGGGCATACAGACGTTTTGTGTTTGGGCCGGCCCGGCCGAAGGTGGTGCCGAACCTGGTCCGCAACACCCGAATCAGGAAGTTGGCCCCGCGGCGAAAGTGGAGTCGCTGATGAGGTCAGTTTGGAGAGCCGATGGACTTCGCTGGTTTGCGTTGATTCCAGTTGTTGACCAGACCCTCAGTGTCCAGGCACCTGATGTACTTAAGCGCCACAAGTACATTAGGTACTTGGACCCGCAAGCGGGAACTAACAAGACGACTTGTGCCCCGGTGACCCGGTGACCTGCAAGCTCTTGCCGGGACGTGGAAGACAGGAGAAGCAAGCAGCATTTCCCATGAAGCCAATATGGGTCCATGGGTCCATGGGAGGCCTCCCGAATAGCGATGTAGTAGAACCCCCCCACATACGCAACAGGGGTGGCTCCTTCTTTTTTGAGGCAGTTTCATGTTTGGTGTTTTTAAGGGAAACCAAAACGGAGAAAACAACGTTTTGGGGGTCGACTTGTTTCTTGACAGTGGTCCCCATTCAGCCTCAGAGGGTCGGCAGTCCGGATCGGCCTTTGGCCTTAGTTGCTGTTGGTAGCCAGTTAATGAGTTTGTTTTAGGGCCATGTTTGAAGGGGGCATCCAAGGAACCCTGAGTGTTGCAGTCTCATAGCTTTCGCAGCCGAGCTTTCTGCAAAATGCGGTTTATGTAAAATGGCGGCACAAAGCTTGTGATATATATATATACATATATATTATGTGTATAGATGTATATTATACACGTGTTCATGTACATGTATGAAAATACATGGAAACACATATACGATATTATAAAAGAGACACGCGTGTCCTGGCCCATACCTTGAAGATGTACACATATGCCTGCATGCATTTCAACATGATGTTACATGCTAATGCATGTGTAATTACTATATGCGTGCGTGAATATACGTGTATGCAAGCGCGTGCGCGCGCGGGCGACCGTATGACGTGAATGTATATAGCTTGAGTACACACACACACACCAAGCCCCCCCCCCCCTGGAAAATAAAAGCGCCCCAAAAGATTTTGACGGGGTATATGTATATATATACGTATATATATATATATGTACATGTACGCATGAACACATTTGCATTCACAACTTTGTATTCCCGAGGACCTAGGCTACAACCACTTCGACCCGGAGGCCTTCAGCGCCGCCCAGCAAAGACAAGTCCGAGAGCGCGTCCTTTGAGTCGCCCTTCTTTGGGCTTCTTAAATGGGTGGCTCTCGTCTTTTTGGAAGATACCCCTTCTTTGATGGTTTTGAAGGAAACTAAAAGGGACACAAGCCATTCGGGGTGTCCCGTGTTTAAAAGTTGAGGTGGTTATGAATCAGCTCGCATAAGTTATTATAAGTTTGTATTTCAATCGGTCTGTCGCATGAAAGATGCTCAAAACATGTGTCACTGGGTATTCTACAGCGGGAGGTCACTGAGCAGCGCCTGTTGCCAAAGTTCCTCCAGTTTACTCAACCTGAGCGACCGGTTGTGTGTATATGGGTTCTGACACGTGGGCTCCGTATCTGAGCTCAGGGGTGGACTCCGAGCCACTAATTGACCGCTCAATGGGCGGGATATCATTTTTCCTTCGGTAGGAGATGGCCAACTTGTGGGTCACTCTAGTCAATTTGCCAAGCCCAACCAAATGGCGTGGCCTATTTCCAGTCCAGGTCTTGGCTCTTCTGTCAAATACGACCGCCGAACTATTGGATTGATCCAAAACGAAGGTTCCAGCCCGAGGTCTTGGGCAACAGCCTGCTGAAGGGCAGCCGCCTGCAGTACCTGGGCCTCGCGAAGACCGCCTCTGTGATGGCCGCTGGCTGCCTCCGATGTTCGTTTCGAGACGGCGCCAATCGTTGGTTTCCATGGCTGTGGTGGTCAAAAAACCGTTTTGGGATCCCATTTTGGTTGGGATTGGTGAATTCAACACCCATTTTAGGATGTTCAGTGGGGTACGGGATTTCTGGCCCATGGCTACATCGAGCAAAAATCGGGGAACTCGCAAAATGATGGTGTTCTGGTGTTCCTCTTGGGGACTCCCAAACTGAGGGAGTTCCTCGCGGTTTCTGCGCAGTTTCCCTTAATGTGAAAAGGGCAGGTTTCGCTGAATGTTGAACAGGGGACCCTGGAAGAACATGGAACCCAGGGGGCTCCCCGAGAAGTGATTCCTCCAGAGATGGTTGCCTGAGGTCTATTTTAGGCTGCAGGTACCCTTTGTCCAATCTGCAAAACGAGGTCAGCCATGAATGAAGGCTCCGGGAGTCCATCATTCAGGTTGATAGCAAACTGCCCAGAACATCAGTAGATGGGGGGACCTGTTGAACATCTTTCAGAACCCTTACGTTCACTTCTATGATTGCTAGAAACAGGGTAGCCCCATTGAGTTACCTAGGTGAATGAAGTCTAGAAAAGAACTCTCCCAACCATTCGTGGATACGGCTGTCTTGCCCTCCCTATTGATTGTGCATGAAGTTGGATAGCCCCCTTTGACACTGGCAAGAAGGTCGCGAAAGGCTTAAACGTAGGTGCTTGTAGATCTAAGACACTATTGCACGTGTACGCCATCATATGCACATATGTGCATGCATGCATGCTTGCATGCATACAGGCATACACGCATACACTCATATGCGCATACACGCATACACACATACACATACACATCATACATACATACATACATTGCTTTGCATTGCATTGCCTTGCATGAACATATGTACATGTGTACATACATACATACATACATACATACATACATACATACCTACATACATACATACATACATACATACAGACATACATACATACATACATACATACATACATACATACATACATACATACATACATACATACATACATACATACATACATACATACATACATACATACATACATACATACATACATACATACATACATACATACATACATACATACATACATACATACATACATACATACATACATACATACATACATACATACATACATACATACATACATACATACATACATACATACACACATACATACATACATACATACATACATACATACATACATACATACATACATACATACATACATACATACATACATACATACATACATACATACACATACATACATACATACATACATACATACATACATACATACATACATACATACATACATACATACATACATACATACATACATACATACATACATACATACACATACACACATACAGACAGACAGACAGACACACAGACAGACAGACATACATACATACATACATACATACATACATACATACATACATACATACAGACATACACAGGATACACGACAGCACAGCATGCATGCATACATACATACATACATACATACATACAGACAGACAGACAGACAGACAGACAGACAGACAGACAGACAGACAGACAGACAGACAGACAGACAGACAGACAGACAGACAGACACACATACATACATACATACATACATACATACATACATACATACATACATACATACATACATACATACATACATACACCTACATGCATACCTGCATACCTGCATGCCTATCTACATATCTGCATACCTACCTGCATACACGTGCACACGAATGCATGCATGCATACATGCGTACCAGCATACTCGCATACACATATACACATATATACACACATACATCCATCCATATCCACCTACCTTGCATTCCATTTCATTACACCACATCACGTTGCCTTTTCTTACATTATGCTACATTGCATTTTATTGCATTACAAGGTACACGTGCAAACACCAGAATAGGAATTCTCCAGAACATGCGTCTCTTTAAACACCTTCCAGAAGCCATTTGAAAGCTCCTGGTCATGATTTGATGAATGCATTCAAAAGCAGGTATGCTAAACAGCATGGGGCAACAGGAACATAATGGACCCTCTCCCATCCGAAAACAATCATCAATGATCAACAAGCAAATTTCCGGTGTTGAAAACTGTCTAGCCCATGTGTATGTATGTATGGAATATACCGTAATGTCATGTCGCGTATTGTCATGTAACGTAATAGCCATGTAACGTAATGTAATGTCACGTAATGTAATGTAATGTAGCGTAGTGTAGTGTAATGTAGCGTAATGTAATGTACAGTAATGCAATGCAATGTATGTAATGGATTCATTAACATGGGGATATCGAATAAGGTCGTTGAGTGGTCAGTATTCGCATGCAGCCTGCAACACAGATAACAGATCTCCCCTCTCGCCGCGGCTCACGGCTTTTCAAGTTTTTTCGGGGGTTTTCCGGGGCTTGCCGAGGCCGCGCAGCCTATGAGCGGCTTCCTGGAACAACTCCCGGCAGACAAGAGTCTCAGATTCCTGGACCTTTCGGCGCCTCGAACAAAAAAAACGTGTGACAAGCGAGGCAGATCCTGTGGCGCATAGGGAGGCCATTGAGAAAAACAGGAAGCGTCTTGGCTTTTGTAGTGTGGCTTTTCAAAATGCGAAGGGGACATGTTAAAATGAGTGGCTGCCCTTTGCCCTTCCCGAGCAGAGACTGGCCGAAACAAGACACCCTTCAGAGTAAACAGACACACCGGTATGGTTGCAGAGCTTCAAACTCTTCGTAGATGTTTCGGTCTGGCAACCTGTGAAGCACCTCACAGCAAGCATCTGCTGGGGTTGAAGGGTGTGTGTGTGTGTGATTGCGCGCGTGTGTCCTCTTTCGTTCCCCTGCTTGCCCGATGTCTGGTCAGTTTGGCTGAACATAGATGGCACTTGTTTTCAGTATGGTTCTAAGTCTACTCATTTGCCAGAGCCATATTTTTGTGCAAACGACAGGGACACGAACACATTTGTTTGGCCGAACAACGTCTTCGGCTGGGAAGATGAGCATTGTGGCAGCGCCTACCTATCAGCTTTGCCCAAAGCTACAGCAAGCAACAGAGGGATAACATTGCGGGGAGTATTCCAGTAGGTGCCAGCAGTCGGCCGTCCAAAAACCAACTGGTTGTCAACAAACACACGCGAACGGTCATTCGCGGCTTGGGTTGAAGTGCATGTGTGTGTGTGTGTGTATGGAGCCGGGATCTCTGCATTTGAGTGGCGTGTGGGACTGGAATTCCTTGAAGTGCTAGTCGTTTTGCTCGCGGCCCACGGAGACCCCGGACTTGCAAGAGACGGGCCGAAGTGATGAAGGTTTTTTGCTTGGGTTCACTTAGATTGGCATCGGTTTTGGTGGCCCCTATGGACACTGAAGTGTTATTGTCTCTATAAGGTTGTTTCTTTTTTAGGGCTGGCAGCTGGTAGGGGAACCGTTTTTTTTTACTAGCCCCAGCTCGGGGCTGAACCCCGGCTCGGAGACTGGTTGGTTGGTTGGTTGGTTGGTTGGTTGGTTGGTTGGTCAGCCGGGCGGCCGCATCCCCAGCATCCCCAGCATTTCCGGTTTCTTGTCAGGGCTGCGTATTGGGCATGACTTGATGCTCGGGATAGCCGGCCGCATCGCCAGCATTACTGGCCTCACTCGGACGAGAGCTGCCTATTGGCTCAGTTCAGGGTTGATCGGGGCTGGTTTGGGGTGAGTGTTGGGCTTGCTGAGGAATTAATGCGGGCGGGTCTTGGGTTTGTTTGGGGTTCATTTAGCCTCGGCAAAGGGACTGATTCGTGCTAGATGTGCGGCTGGTTTAGCCACGGCTAAGCCAGCCGCACATCTAGCACGAATCAGCCCCAACCAAGCCAAAACCGACCCAAAGTCAACCTTAAACCCTCCCAACCGCATCCTGCATATCGGCCCTTTGCCGAGGATAAATGAACCCCAAACAAAGCCAAGACCCGCCCGCATTAATTCCTCAGCCAGCCCAACACTCACCCCAAACCAGCCCCGATCAACCCTGAACTGCCACCAAATCAAAGCCAATAGGCAGCTCTCGTCCGAGTGAGGCCAGTAATGCTGGGGATGCGGCCACCAACTCCCAGCCCAACAGGCCTTGTGCCGAGCCAGGGCTAGTAAAAAGCCGGGGCTAGTAAAAAAAAAGCACCTCAACCGCAGCTGGTAGGTCGGTAGCTGTTCAGGCAGGCAGGTAGGTAGGCCAGCAAGTAGCTAGGTAGGCAGGCAGGCAGGCAGCAAGGCAGGCAGGGGTTTGATTGTTTTCTTGCTTGCTTTGCTTGGTGAGCTGGTGAGTATGTGGGTCGGTGGGTCGGCTGGCGGGCAAAGAGAATGAGAGGGTGGAGACGTCTCCAGCATCAGCAGACTCATTTGGATCATTGAGTGATGCATCGTGCTTCAACCCTGGGTGTAGTGGCGTTGGGCAGAAGGGCTTTGGGCTTTGAGCTTGGGATGGGCCTCTGGCTTGACGGCTTCCAAGACGAATATTATTCTGCGGTTGGCTCAGGTTTGGATGGGTTTGGGGGAGATGTAGGTGTTTGCAAACATAGCACCCATTTTGTGGTGAGTTCACGAACGTATTCCCCTAGTTCGGACACGCCCATGTGGCTAGCACATTCTCGCACCTTTGAGCCTTCTTTGGAAGCACCACAATTCCATACCAAGACTTCTCCCCTGCAATTGACATGGAATGCACATAAGTCGCCTTCCACAGTGGGGCTTCTCTAAGAATCACGGGTTGGGGGGGGGTTCATGTCCATCGGAGGCTGCTCCAGGTACACCATGATGTGAGGATCTGGTAAAGGCAACATGTGGTTGGGTCGCCGGCGTGTGTTTTGAGGATAACATGCTGGACGAGAACGCCGCGCTAATGCTGGAGTACGGCCTGCAGACACATCCAACCATAGCCCTTTGGGTGGAATCGCCTCCGGGGGAGGGTAGTGCAGCCCATGGTGCTCTGTGCCCCGACTCGTGTGAAGGTTACCTGGGCACTTGGACCATTGACCGACCCTGAAGTACCAAGGGTACATTGCTGTTGCTCATGGTCAGCTCCGAAAGAACCATCTGCTTGAGCGGTTGACGGCTGGGAATGGGCGTGATGAGACTTGAGCGAGAAAGTGGCATAGTTCTGTTTGGTCCATCCCGGACCGTGGCAAGTTTCCTTCCTTTGTGCCAAGCTCCGGCAAGGGCCCGCGAAGCAAACATCCATTCAGGTTGCAGATATAGAGCAGCACATAAACATCTGAAAACACATCTGGTTCCATGTTCAAGAAGATTAGCTAGACGCCATGATGCCAGTAGCCTCTCGGTGGGTCATAGCGGGCATATTGAATCTCTAGATTCCGAGAACCGCTGAAACCCAGCTCAGTCCTGCCAAGTAAGTAGTTTTTCCTGGTGTGACATGTTTTTTCTTTTTCTTTTCTGGGTACCTACAGAGCCGGCAATGGCTTTACCGCTGGCGTCTTGGGAAGATTGGCTCGGCGAATCAAAGCAGCACCCGACTCAGGAGCTGCTGGACGTGTCCACCAACCCCCTGGGCCAGGGCGGTTTGGGCTCCCTGCGCCTCAGCCGAAGGGCCGAAGGGCCGAAGGGCGGAAGGCGAAGGGTCGGAGCTCCAGCTGGGTCAAGATTGGGTCTCTGCAAAAGCGAAAGTACCCCAAGAAAAGTCTCTATGAGATAAGGGGAGAGGGGGGAGAGAGAGAGAAAGAGCGAGAGAGGGAGGGAGAGGGAGAGGGAGGGAGAGGGAGGGAGAGAGGGAGGGGGAGGGAGGGGAGGGAGGGCAGAGAGAAGAGAAGAGAACGAGCCAAGAAACAACAAGCGACAGAGAGAGATAAAGAGAGAAAGCCAAAGAATTCCAATGACGGCAGGCGAAGGGGGCTTACCCCAACAAAGACGCCTTTCCATACATTCCTGTTTGGGTGCAAGGGACATGATTTGTGAAGGGTGGTGCTACGTTTTTTCTCAGGGAATGCGGGTGTGCCAAAGGGAGGCCCGCCGAACGAACTCTATCCCTGCGCGTCTTTCAGGGCCCGGCTGCTGTCTTCGGAGGAGTGCACTGAGCTGAAGAACATCCTCCTGGAAGATGTGCAGGCTGGAACTGCGAACGGGGATCCCCCAGATTCCACCCTCTAAACCCCCGGAAACTCATCCCGATCTTATCCGTTTTTGATAAACAAGAGACACACATATGCTTGATCGTTGTATTGAGCCTTGCAAGGATGGCTCTACACCTTGCAAGGATGGCTCTACACCAATGGAAAGCCAAACGAATATCAAGTGTACAGCCATGGGATCAACGTGCCCATCGGTGTTTCGCTGTGACGCTCCGGGTGAAATATAGAACGCGCACTGGCAGGGTTCCTTGCGGCAAGACAAAGCATCATTTGGTCGAATCAAATCCGATTTCCAACACATTGTTGGACCCATTCAGGCATATATGCAATATGCCTACCATGTCCTTGTAGCTGAGCTTTTGCCTTCTGAACGGCTCACATGTGTGCAAGTTCTCCGTAGACGGAGTCACGGCCTCACGGCCCTCGTGAAGGCCAGTGAACGAGGAGACCTTCAGAATCAGCATCACGCCATGTCGTTTCCAAATAGGTCTCCTTGGGTTTTGCTATCCATTTGAAACACCTTTGGGATTTGATGGGGTCTGGTCGTCTCTTTGTGTTCGGGCTTCAGTTTGTTTTCTGCCCGTCCAGGCCGCCTCTGACCGGGATGTGGCCATGGGGCTCTTCGAGGTGGTGCCTTCGTCTTGGAATTTCGAGGGCCTTTAGCCAGGATTCCAGTGGGTCAAAGCGAAAGGCTTGGTATGCCACATTAGACATTGGATTCAGGGAACTTGGCCCCATTCGGGAATGAACTTTTGGATCATACTCGGTCATGTTGGACCAATGTTGAGTGGTTTATGCAAAATGCCAGGGCGCAGTGCTCGCAAAAATTGGTAGATTCAAGTCTTTGAAGCACGACCTGCACAAACCTGGACTCTTCATGACTGAAACCACGGGGGGTCGTGTCCTCATTGAACTTTTGGTGGAGATTGGGCCTCAAGGCGACCCAAGTGAAGCTGATTCCGCGGAAAGCGCCCCTATGATCCATTAGGATCCCCTAGGTTTGTTGTACTCCAGATAACGTGGAACCCAACATGTGTTTTCTTTCAAAAGGAGGCTCCTCTGAAAAACGGCTCGTTTCGTTGCTAATCAACTGATCTGAAGTGTCAAGGGAGACCTGCCAAGGCCTTTAGGTCATGGAACGGAGGCACGAATGAAGGGCAAACGCTGGGGCCTGGCTGAAATTTAGCGCGGGGAGAATTACAGAAACGTGTACAGCTTACAAAGGCTCGGAGGGAAAAAGAACATGATAAGTATGTGTGGGGCCGCAAGGCTGGATGCCGTTTTCCTTTTGGGGATTCTGGGGGCGATGGCCTAGTTCTTCATCTTAGCTCTGCAAACCTTCCATCCCCCAAGAAGAGGTAGGGGAACAAGACCGAGTTCGACTGTCTCGTTTCTCTCACCCCACAAACAAGGGTCTTTCCCCATCCTGGTTGTGGCCACTGCCACTCCATTGTTCAGGTCGGTTGTTGAACATGTCTTCTATCTGTCAAGGATGCTGCTTTGAGCAGGGGTCAGCGCCATGCGACGAGAAGACGTGGATGCGTTCAAGGTTTGTTCTTCCTTTCATTTTGCTTGCAGCCACAAGGAAGGAACTTCCGGGTAAAGCAGTAAAGCAAACACAGCAATACCTTCAGACCCCTCATTTCTTGCTGGTTCTCAGCAGGGATTGAGGGAATGACCCCTAGAAACAATCCATAGCCTATGGTTTCAATTCAGGGAAACCCAAAATGGTTCATTCCCAACACCCGCAAGGTCATCCCCTATCGCACCAACTCCTTCACCCGAACCCTGCCACGAAATCCCAGGACCCATCGGGGTACTACAGTTTGGACCTTGCGCAGCCGGGCCAGCGCACGCTGCTGCGGCTCCTGCTGTCGCAGCTCGGGGGGACCCGCAGTAGCCTCAAGGGCTCCCGGGCTGCATATCTATAGGACACCGCTGTAGGTGGAACACCTTTGGTGGGGAAGTCATGGATGTTTCGGTCACTTGTCTCATTCAATCATCAAGCAGAAGGCATTTGGAGCTTCCCCATGAGAGATCCTTTGACTCACAAGACCCATGCGCAGCAGGAAATTCGAAGGGAACCCAAAAACAACCGACCATGCGTGCTTCCAGTATCTTCCAGTAACCTTTGTGACAGCATCAGACTCCGAAGGATGGCTTTTCGCTGTCCTTTTGGTTTTGTGGAGGGCAACCCCGCATCCAGCGGTCTGAGAACTCGGGCCACGAATTTGACTGTCTCTCGGGGTTGTCAACGTTGGACACTGGGGCCGTACTCGGCGTATTTTGTTGTGCTGAGAGGTTTTGAAGCGTTGTGCTTTTTGCTGGTTGGTGACCTAATGTTAGGTGGCTTGATGGTACAATGGTACCCCAAAAGAAGGGCCCCAAACAGGGCCTTTGCAGCAGCATTGGAGACTGCATTGAAAGGGATGTTGAGGACAGCGGTGATCTCCTATTTGTCATGGCTTTTGCGGATGGACCTTTCCAGTCCCGTGATTTTTCGAAGCACGCAAAGAAGATCTTTCAACACGGTTGGCATCTTTTCGATTTCCGATCTGAAACTAGATGCCTCACAAGAGGTTGACATGGGGGAACGTGCTTCCAAACATGTCTAGGTTCCCCAGTAGTGCCCGTTTACCCTTTTTTGGGGGAGGGTTCTCCTAAAATAGTACCAACTTATTCTAACCTCTCCAATCTGGAGGACCTAGATGTTCATCAGCCTTGAGGGTCGTTTAAAGGAACTGCTGATACCACCGCTTGGTGAGAAGCCGCCTTTGCCGGATCGAAGGCGCGACGCTGACCACCTCGCCGACAGCACAGCCAGCGCCATTCAACGTGCCACGGCATGGGGGTGACGGCTCGCCATCGCCATGTTCATTGTATGTTGGTGTGAGGTCTATTGAGAGTCGCAGTTCCCTTGATTTCAAGGGACGCCAACAGGAAAACCGCAATTTTTGGGGTCCTCCTAACTGACAAATACCCATTTGGGAGTGATATTCTTTGTGCGTTTCCAGAACACAAGGATGCGTGGGGTTCAGGTGGATGCTTGAGCCTGCAGGAGTTGCAGGCGCACATCGTTATTTCCGTGTGGAGCATGTTGTGGCCATTGTCGATGCCACTGTTCAACAGCAAAAGATCATACTTTTCAATGTGCATGTGTCAGACTATGACCTTGTTCGGGGCGAGTGTTAGCAAACTGCCAGCGATCGTTCCGCACGCAGCGAGGTCAACAGATGTTGTTTTGTTGGAAAGGAACAGCTGTGCACCAAGCCATGTTGGTCGGTGGAAGGGTAATCAGTTTCTCAGATGCGTTTTTCTATGTTGCGGTTGTTTTCTTTTGCATTTGCATCCCTGATCTGTTCCTGGCGGGAAGGAAGCAAGCACCTGCACCATGGTGAAGAGACCTACTTACTTGGGGTGACTGGGCATGGTCATGAGCTTTTTAGCAGGGAGCTTAGACAGCAATCCCAGTGATTCAGTTTGCCTGCTGACCAGGGGAGTCAGCCCTCAAAAACGAAAAGGAACACGCCTGATTGCTTACCTTGGTGACCTTGGATCCACTGTGCAAGGGTTCCGGTTCAGAGGCGACCACACAGACTTTTGAACATGGACCTGAGGTGGATGGAGTGCGGAAGAAGCGGAACATCTGGAATGTGCCCACCTCCGGCACGCTGAGCTTCGTGTTGCTTGGCTCTGGTTGTTGGTGCCATTTAGGCGGCACTCACAATTGTCATTGGCAATTTCAGTGGATGGTTTTTGTTTTTTTCCTTATTTTTTCCCCACCCGACAGGAAGGGGTTGTTAGATTTTATGTTGGAATCCGTGTTTGTGCCAGAGCTGCTCGCCAGTGGATCCCGCCGAGTATCCCACCAGAGCAGCCCGCCAGTAGATCCCGCCAAGTATCGCCAGAGTGCTCGCTGCCGAGTCTCCAGCAGAGCAGCCCGCCAGTGGATCCCACCGAGTATCCCGCTGAGTATCCCAGTGGATCCCGCCAGTATTTCGCCAGAGCAGCTCGCCAGTCTGGTTTTGCTTAATGTCCCGCCCGGCGGAGGAATTTGTTGTAACGGTCGTAAGCTCGTGTGTGTGTGTGGAGGGTGGGGATGGCTCGAAGCGAAGTAATTGTCTTTTTTTCTCGGTACTCGATTTTATTCGGGAGTTGCGCTGAAAGCCCACGCAAATTTCACAGAATCGATCACTTGGGGGCTGCTCATATGCGTTTGACTTGTTTGCTTCTAGCTCTTCTAGCTTTTGCGGAGTCGATCCTTGTTTGTGTTCTATGTCGTTGCTTTCTTCTCGTGCAAGTCTTGCCGGTGGTAGATTTTGGGGCACGACAAGCGGAATCAAGCATGTCTGACACGCTGAGCTGGGCGGCATCCCGCTCTTTCGGCTGGTGCGCAACCGTGGCAACCGTTGACAGAATCAGAAGCAATACGAAGTACCGGCAAAGTCACCACCAAGCATGGATAGGCAAAATGGTTTGAGGCAACAATAGCCGTTTCCCTTCAAGGGGGCCTGTCTGCAGCTTTTTTTGCAGTCCACAAAGGGGGTCATCCCCTTGCGGTTTTGACCTCGGAGGCTGAATTTGAACGACTTCCTCCTGAAAGACGAGCGGGACA